GGGGGGGGGGGGGGAGTCCGAGGGGCATCCCCCGAGAAATTTTAGAATTTATCCGACTGATCAGACGCATTTTGAAGCTTCTATAAAGAACTGTTCCATCAATTTCTGCGGAATAATCATGTTTTTTTTTTCTACTTTCAGCACAACATACTTGCGAATTGTTGCATTCAAAACATCTGGAAAATTTTTAATTTTTTTTTTTTTTGGGGGGAGGATTTTATGATACTATTTTCAGTTCTAAGAGGGCCAGGCCCCCCTTGACTCCCCCTTCGTATGTCTATGGGAAGGGAGTTGAGCCATGAGCCATTGAAGTCGAGGATGCCCTGCAGACTGGAGACTCTTAGCATCAGACGACGGAAGAAAATGAAACGCAGTTACTAAAAATATCCCTCTGTACTGAAAATCTTGAAAATAGATAGAAATTTTCCAAGAAGTATACTTCTTTGAAAATTTAAGAATAATTCTACAGTGCCCCAGAGTGTTTCTGGAAATCTATTCACCTTTTGCGAAATGTTTAGGGTAAATTTTTCACTTTTTCTTACGAAACAAGGGTTGCATGTGAATTCGTAGTGGTTTTTCACGGGTAACACGGGCCCCGGCACCAGGGACCCAGTGTCCCCCCTTGTGGCGGGCCTGAGAAGGGGTTGTAAAAACAAATTCCCCGGCCCTCGATTTGTTCACTTTTTTTTTCTCTCTTCGATGCGTCTGATTCTTATTTTTTCAAGATGTATTTGTAGACCCGTATCTGAAGCTCGTATGCACTGGCCCCATCAAACCCGGTAGCCACGTGTTTTTAGCAAGCCTCGGTTCGATTTGACCTGAGTTTGGCATCGAAGGGTTAAACTGCCAACCATGACGAATTGTGGATAGTTTTCCCTAATTGTGTGACCAGTGTGTAATTTTAAAAGTCAAATAAATTTAAAAAAAAAAAAAAAATACATGATATACGAGTTTCTCCGCCAGGGAGCTATCCCCGCAAGACATCGTTTACCACCCGCCTGCGTTGGGGGTGCCGCGGCATGCTGCCAGCTCGAAACGTGCACTGACGCCTCGTCTACAAACCTAAAGGGCTACTTCACGCATTGCGCAATGCTTGAAGTATCCCCTTAGGTTTATAGGCGTCGCCTGCGCGTTGCGCAATGCTTGAAGTATCCCCTTAGGTTTGTAGGCGTCAGTGTGCGTTTTGAGCTGGCAGCGCCAGCGGCAGCATGCCATTAACTTAGCCCACAACTAATAGGTCAGGGTGTTAAAATGTAGGCAATTTGACATCAAATTCGAAATGAGCGACTCAAGAAAACTTCATTCACGAAACTTTCGTGATCTTTCAGTCACACGCTGAATGTGGGAGCTGAATGTGGCTTGAATGTGGAAGTCATCGGCCCGATGCCTCACGCGCAAAATTCAGCAACGATTCTCAGCAACCATCGGACCAATTTTGAATTTGTCTGAACTATTCGAGTAGATTTGATACACATCCGGATGAAAATAACTCGAATCTGCTAAATTTCAGCCGTTGGGCGATGATTGTTGACTTTCACATTCAGCTGCTAAATTCAGCGTCTGATTGCGGCATTAATCGGACAGCACGTACTACGTAATCGTTTTGAACTGCGCGCCAAAACCGCGACTGAGAAGCTCTTTGCATAACCAGAAGGCTTCTAGCTTCTACTTCAAACCATGCTTAGAAGGTTTCTGTTTGTACGAGAGTTCTCCTATATAGGTAGTTTTATCTGTCAAGTTATGTGATGACGGTACGTGATTACAAGCTTTATCAAATTAAGCAAATCTTTCTCGTTATCAGTGTGGTTTTATTTTGCTATCGTAGAAGAATTTCAGCCCACGATCATTCGAGCCGTTTATTTATTTAATCTTCCGAAATGACATCCTTCTTTGGTGTGGGCATCAGTCCATTTTCCACTCCCGTTGGACAGCGAATAGGTTTGTCATTTTCATGTTTTGCTGTTTCATTAGAGCAGAGCAATGTTATGTAAGAGTCTCTAGAAGTCTTCACAATTTCGTCTTCTCAGCAATTGATTTTTACTTCACTTCTTCTTCTTACCAATCTGCACTGTATTTCATGGAACTTTTTCCCATATTGCTGCCCACCAGTCATGTTTTTGTTAGACTTATAAACCATTGACTGTTCGCAAGACGAAAGTATCATAATAGGAACTATTTTGAGAGCTTCTGGGTTTTTTTGTTTACATAATATCTGTCGGAGACCTCCTAGGTTTTTCACTCCGATACCACACAGTTGCTTCTCTGATAAATGTACATATGAATACACTGTCACTAAGTGAAAGCTTCAACTCCATTCCAAACCTTTCGAAAACAGTGTTTGAGACTTAAGTACTACTTGAATCTGTCGTTGAAATCTCTGTGTTCACGCTCTAATAACTCACAATTTAAGCTTTCAGTAATGAATGAGTGGCCAATTCCAGTAAAGATTTTATACTAAGGACAATCCTAATCCAGTTGCTCTATATCAATGCTCTCAATGGATGGTGGTTTGTTGTTGCCACTATTATTTATTCATTCATTCAATACTTTCAACTCCTCTGACCTTTCACACAGTAAAGTTAATTAGAATTTAAGTTACGTACTGTTTCCCTATTCGGCCTATTTGTAAATTTGAATGAGAACCAAGGTGTTGTATTGAATACTTATTAATTACTGAGGCACCTTTCGGCTTACGCCATCTGCGGAGTACATATTCATCGGAACATAAATATATCACAGTTACTTTACACTAGTTGTCACAAGCTTAACAATATATACATCATGGATATCATACAAGAAAGTCAAATAGTTCAGAGCGTTACTGCTGATTAAAATCAGGAGTAACGTTTGGAATACATGGCATAGACGCTACCTCAATATGCATATATCGATTTTTTTGCATTGGTAGCATTGTAAGAGGTTATGCCAATGTTGTTGTTTGGATCCAATTCGATATAATGGAAAATCCCTATGTGATGTCGCCACTAATAGCATCTATTGTGTTGGAACGCCCAACATTTCTTCCCAATGCTCAATAGTCTCCTGAGGTTGATGAGACCGTGGAGTTGCATTTTATAAACAGAAAAACTGAATTCCACAGCATAATTTGACCTCCAATATGCAGCTATGCCATGCCTCATTTAGTTTTTTATGTAGATGTTTGATTATCAAATGAAAGTTGGCTTGTGTAGGTATTCATCATTTCCCAAGATGATCTGCCTATTTATAGACGAATGCATTAGATGCCTTCGTAATATGAAACATACCCAACAGGTTAGGTACTGCCCAAAGTAACATTAAGTACAAGAACATTGTGAAAATTTTGCTGCAGCTTTAATCTACTAAGTTAGTCCTAAGTTCTTGTTTTTTCTTGGTTGTAGAGAGAGCTACCGATGCAGCATTGCCAGATGTAGACTGGTCTCTTAACTTGGAAATCTGTGATTTGATTAATGAGAGAGAGGATGGACCAAAAGATGCGATCAAAGCTATACGGAAACGACTCGTACAGAATGCGGGCAAGAATCATACAGTAGTCAAATACACACTAATCGTAAGTATTGTTTATCTTCCTGCTTGCGTTTTTTCCAGATTCACCACATTTCTTTTTCTCTTTTTGCCATGGTGGACTCAATACTCTGGAGTGACAAATTTTATGAGAAAATGTACCCATCAATTATTTCCTTTTCTTCTTAACTGTGCGTACATCTTTATGCCACTCATAGCTGTACAAAAACAAATTCTTTGCCTGATTAGTTCAAGTCAATTAGGCCGGTCTTTCTTGTGATAGTAATTGCTAAAAGTTTTATCAAACTATATTCTGTTGTTTCAGAGAATCAGCATCAAACTAAAATTTAACGTAGTTCATGCAGTCACCATTCATTTTAAGCCCAGTTGAAGTTGCTTACTAAACTAAAATTTTTTAAACGTTAATTTGATAAGATAAAGTGCGAACACCTGTCTCACTTTCAAAAACAGATATTTATGCTGAAAATTATGAGAATATGCCATGAGAACCTAATTTAGTTGTAGTTGAAGAGGAAGGAGAGTTAAATCAAAGGAATTATTGTCCTCCCTTCCCTTAATTTTTTCCACTGTTAAATTTGTCACAGTAACCATTGTGACATAGAAGTGAATAATGAGTTTTTTCACCAATCAAATGGAGGTGTACTTTCATACTCAGCACGTAAAATCTTATCATTTTGAATGTTGTTCCCAGGTTTTGGAAACATGCGTGAAAAATTGCGGCAAGCGATTTCATGTGCTAGTCTGTAATAAAGAGTTTGTTCAAGAGCTGGTGAAGTTGATAGGTAAGATTTCAAAAATTTAACTGATGGTACAATCAGAAACCATTCCTATTAATTGCAGTCCCAAAGATTTTAAGTACCTACTTTTATTTTATATCTCAACAGAAATCTCTCCACCACCAGTCTCATATAGATTTTTCAAGAATAATTCTACTTATGAAAAAAGGAAGGTATCTCAAAGTTTCTGAAAATGAGACCCAAAGATATTTCCCAAGATTTCCCATAAACAAAAACAAACAAGAGAGTCTGCGATGTCCTAGATGAGTCAGTTTCTGGTAGAAGGGAGGCGTTCAGCCCTTTTAAAAAAAAAAAAAAATTCTTGCGTTTTTGGCCTTCTGAAGGATGTTCACAAATTAATTGAGAATTTATATACCTGTATGTATAGCTTGAAAAAAGCAGAGCAGTACCTCTAAATTTTTTCCGTATCTGAAAGTTATATCTCCATACTCTACTTGTGACAAAACTTTCAAAACGCATCTCAAACTTACGTTTTTTACTAAATAATATCTTGGCTTTCTTTCATTTTCATGCAAAAGGGTATAAGTCAAAGATTTCTAATTAACAGGAAAGGGTACTAAAAAATTTTCCACCAATAAAATTACCTCAGAATTTTCAAACAGATGCTGACCTCTCCTGCAAACACTCAAGAAAATTTTTGGTGCTTGACAAGAAAAGTCAATTGTCAGTCATTTGTCTTTTTTGTAAAATTTTGTTGTGTAGTCTTAAGCCCTTCTACCAAACCAATAACCAATTCTAATGAAATCTAAATTTCCTAAAATACCAAAGGAAGAAGTCACAAAAAATTAGCTCCACCTATTTATTTGTCTCAGCTGATACAGTTATCTAAAAGATAAGGACTATTGTGTAGCAAATTGTTGTCCCTTGAGAGCTGATAAAGACTCTGAATCACACTGCTGTTTTACTTTGTTTATATCTTATTTCTTTCCATCTTTCGCAACTCACCTGATTCAAGTACTAACTGTAAATATTTTATTGTTAGCTATATGATGAGGCAATAAAGTAACTGTTTTTTCGTAACTTAATTTTCCAAACCAATTTTTTACAACAAGTCTCATGCCTACATTACATGTAATATCGTACCTTGCCTAATATCTACCTTACTAAACATCAGCAGGAATGTTTTCTCTCATTTGGCTCCTCCAGCTGTAAGGAGGAAGCTTAAATTTTCTTTAAATGATTTTTCCCTTCTATCAGTTCTTTGTAAATAATTAAGCTAATTAATTTGATCAAATTGAATGTAATACACTTGCGCTAAATTTTGCATTTCTGACCCCCTCTCTCGCTTGTAACGAACGCTTTTGCGATGTAGGTCCTCATCCTTCATTGCATAAAAACAAAATGGTGCAATGTGCTCCTCGACCTTCTGTCCATTCTATAGCACATATTTTATGAATGGCCCTTTACTCAATACCGCAGTCTTTATGGGGGTATTTACTGAGTAAAGAACTCAATAATTAACTGGTTTAAAATCCTGTCTTAAAATTCAACTTTTCTCTTCCTCCTTCTATAGGACCAAAGAATGATCCTCCGACTGAAATTCAAGACAAAGTTTTAAGCATGATTCAGAGTTGGACGGATGCCTTCAAAAACCAACCTGAAATGTCAGGCGTAGTCCAAGTTTACACGGAACTCAAGACCAAAGGCATTGAATTCCCAATGACTGATCTCGATACAATGGCTCCCATTTTAACCCCTCATAAGGTATGTATTTCTTTCATGATACACCAATTAATTTGAATTAACAGTTATGCAATGAAAAGCACTTGAAGGTGTCCGAGGTATTACTTGCTATTCAGTCTTCAAAATGAAGCGTTAGAAATGAGTATCCTGACAATGGGGCTAGAAAAAATTCTAGAAAATAAAGTTTGTAAGCAAGGTTCTAGCTTCAGTGACAGGCAAGTGCACCTGAATGTAAGAGGTGCAAACTAAAGAATATGCTTTTAAAATTAGTGCAACCCTAACCACAATCGAGTCCTTGTTCCTTGCACTATTTTATAGTTCATGAAAATTAAACTTGTCATTAAACAACCTCTAAAATGTAGGAGTGGAATTCAGACGCTGTGCAGAGTGTATGTCTGATTTTATCTTCTATCAATGTTCATCTTTAACCATAATCCTCTGAATTTTTGCATAGTATTCAATGCTTTGTATTGAAGGCGGACTGAGCAAGACATGTAAACTGGCCACACATTTTGCACATTCTTGCTAACCATGGAAGAAATTGAGAGATAAAATACAACCTTTGCTTAAATTATAAATAAGATCAGTTCAGTTTTTCAAGAAGAAAAATAAACTCTTTGAGTTTCTAACATTTTCGGAAGAGGACGTATTGGACTTGGAAATAGATAACTTTTTGTTCATAAATCTAATGAGATGGGGTTCTATCACTTCGGTTCAAATTCAACTTCTTGTTAAGTAAATCAAAACTTTTAACATTATTTTTGGGGAATTTTGAGTCTGTATGATACATTCTATGGTCTAAATGATATTTTCGGATGCGCTAAAAAATTTTGAGATTTTGTAAAAGTCTCAACCTGACTTCAACCAGAGGATAAATCCATAACAAGAGGAGAAAGAATAAGGCTTAAGATGTCAAATTAGAGATATTCAGCAAAATTGCGTGTGTTTACATGTGTTTTTCAGAGCGTTGATAGTGATATCCCAGTGGGAGTTGTTGCCACTGAAACGCCAAAAAGAGGTTCGGCACACCAGCATGTCTCCGCTGCACCAGGTTCTCACATGCTGACTCCCGAGCAGATGGTAAAATTACAATCAGAGCTTGATTTAGTCAACGGAAATATGACAGTCCTTAATGAGATGCTTACCGAACTCACCCCTGGCAAAGAGCATCCCAGCGATATCCAGTTACTTGAGGTAAGATTTCAACCCATTGATCTATGAGTTACTTTGACCCTGCCGCACCTAGAATCATAATCTAATATGGAAAAATCAGTGGTTTGGAACAATTTATCAATTGAAGCTACAAAATAACCTACTAATAACCCCTGACTCATTTTCGGTGGTTGAAAGTCGGTACACTTGGCTTGGTTTCATATTGTTGATTTAACGCTATCGAAATCGCAAAATCAAATGGAATCAGTAAATCAAAGGTTGTTACAGTAAAACCTCGCTAAGTCGGTTTCCGGATAAGCCGGTAACCCGCTTTAGTCGGTAGAATCGCCCGGTCCCGTTTATCACCCATATAACACAATGCTAAATAAGTCTCGGTATCTCGGTTTGGTCAGATTCTGAACCCGCTTAACTCGGTGAAATTTTTCCATCTCGACCTGTTTTTCTTCGATCGTCACCCGAGATCAAGCGTAGGTAGTGTTTCCGTGCGCGGTGCGGGTCGGGTCAAGTTACGCCACGAAGGGTGAGCGAATCTCCGAGAAAGCGCAGCGCAGTGCGAGAGACGACATCAGCTCCCCCTCTCCTCCTCCCTCCGATCCCCACTCAGCCCGCTCGTATCGGCACGCGCCCCTCTTCCCCTACCATCTTGCATTGCCGTTCCCCGCTCCCCCGAGGAGTTTTTCGAGGATTTTAGCGAGTATTGTTTACGTTGCATTTTCAGTGCAACGACCCGCCACTCAGCGGGCGGCCGCGGCGCATCACCGCGCGGCACCCCAACAAACGACTAACCCGATGACTTCATGATGCCCTGACACTTACAACACGCAATTTCAAGTGCATCTCATGAAATTTTACTATTTAGTACCATTTTCTTCGATCAAATGGCTCTCCTAAACACTCCTACAAGTCACTCTACACGCACGTTTGCGTTTGTCCAATTTAGGGCGCGAAATTTGAAAAAGCGCGGCAGGAAAAGTGGCAGTCCGCGTAAGTCGGTAACCCGCTTAACTCGGTAAATTTCCTCGGTCCCGATGAAAACCGACTTAGCGAGGTTTTACTGTATATGTTCAACCATACAATAATACAAAAATATTGCAGCATAGTAATGAATTATTGTACAAAATAAGTTTAAGCTTGGTCATCTCACTTGCTTAAATATTGTCAAGAATACAATCTATCATAAGATTATTGATGTATCGTGTACGTAAATGCAATGTTGACTGACAGCGCTTTAAGTTAACGGGTTAATTTAGCACACTCTTGCCTCAATTTATCTGTGGTTTTTTGCCAAAACTGGGTCAACATTTTGGGAAGGTGGATTTTCATTCTGGAATACTGACATTTTTCTCTTTTTATTTGGTAGCATAAAGCTTCCTCCTTTCAGACTTGTAGTCTTTTTTTGCAAGTGTCTTCTTTTAAGGGCCTCTATACACTTAATTTGTCTAATATGCAAATTAAAAATGCACAAATATGGTTGAAAGATGTGTTCTTTATATTTTGAAGGAGCTGTACGGAACATGCCGAGCAATGCAGGAACGTCTAGCTGAATTAATAAGCCGATTAGCAAATGATGAATTGACTGCTGAGCTTTTGAGGATCAATGATCTTCTCAACAATCTGTTCCTTAGGTAAGCACTCAGCTTTGTTAGTCCGTAAGGGAAATTGTACTGAAAGGTTTTACAACCAATCTCAATGTTTCAGGTATTTTATTAAATCGTCATTTATAAGTATATACTCTTGACCGATTTCACTTTTCTTTGAAGAACAACTTCCTTGTACCACCAGAAAAAGTCACTGCAAAAGTAAGAGGAAAAATGTAAGTTGAAGTCATGTTGGAAGGTCAGGGAATTTGGCACCTTTTGAGCGAGGGAAAAGCATTAATAGTTGAGAAAAAAAATCGGGGGAATTTAAAAATGAAGGAATGAAGAAAATCCTCACATGTGCACTTTGTATTGAGCTCGCTCATAAGCAATACTCCTCATATTCTACCATATTTGTTTTGTTCGCAGGTACAATAGATTTGTGAGTAACCGTGAAGGCGTTCGTGGCGAAGGAGAAGGTGCTAAATCCAAAGTAAAAGATGAACCCGATGCTCTTATTGACTTGAGTGATGAAGCCACTAGTGGAAGTTCCAATATTAATGCGCAAATGGCAGCTATGAGTAAGTGAAAGCTGTCTGTTCTGAAGTCTCTTTAACATATTCAAAGTTTATTGACCTGTTCAGACTTGGCCCTGGCCAATGTCTGCTTGCTGAGTCTCACAGCTCCTAGACTTTTTTGCACCGAAAATTGCTCCAAAATAAAAACAAGTGTGATTTGCCCATTGAAGTTGATGTCATTGTGCAAGAGAACGATTTCAGTAGTCTAATTGTAAGCTGGATCTAATTGTCAGAATTGTTTTTTTTTTTTTTTTTTTTTTTTTTTTAAGAAAAGACTCTTTACAATCTCCAATCATAAGTTTTGCATGGTTTAGATTTTTTTTTCTTCTTCAGCATACATGGTTTATACGAAAAATGATACAAAATTTCTATAATAATAGTTTTAAGCCTTGAACACGGCTGATTAAAACCTTCAATAGGTTTTTCTCAAACCTCAAAGAGTAAAGACATCCATTCAGTGACTTTTTTAAATGTTTTTGGTGCCAAAATGTTGAGAGACTTCTCTTGAGATAGTGGTGCCAATACCTCATTATGCATTACGTTTTTCTTCGTTAGAGTTCCTCTTTTTTTTATGGATGGTCCCAAAATTTGTGTGTGGTATATGAGAGACTGTAATACATAAAATATGTAATGTAATGTAAAAAAAATAAATAATGTATGTATGTACATCTTTTGTTGCAACAATCATTCTTTTGCTGTACGTCTGATTCATTCTTTTATTATACTTACTCATGTTTATTGTTTCTATTCTTTAGTATTTTTCATTTTATTTTATGTGATCTATTTCAGCACTGAGTGGTGCCACTGCTATAAAGTCGCAACTATCATCAGTACCTGGTATCCCTGCGAAAATCCATCAAAACTCCAACGTAGAAGAGGACTCAGCTTTTGACATGTTTGCCCAGTCAAGAAATAAAACTTACGAGTCGTCCAAAGTTGAGTAAGTATCCAGACAAATTTTTTGATATCAAATAAAGGAAAAACCTTGGAAGCGGAGAGGTTTTTTTCCAATCTAGAAAATCCAGGCAACGTTGCAAAAAAATAGTTAAATTCTGTTTGTTTGATTGAGCTGGAATGGACCTGAAATAGATTTAAAAAGAAAAGAGTTGAGTAAATGTAATGTGAAGACTCAGGATTTACAGGATGGACAGGATTTTATCATGACAATGCCTCATCATACAGTGCCTGAATAAGCACTCTTTGAATCAAATCAGCTCAAGATGAAACGCTAGATTTTCTCTCCAAAATATGTGTGTATATTTAAGTAAGAAAGAGAAAGAGAGTCAGTGAATTTATCTTGAAAGGCACAATGGCTATTCAATTTTTGCGGGGTATTTATGTGAGTGTGTGACGCTGAAAGTGATCAAAATTTTGTTAGATTGGCGTCTTTGGTATGGATGATAGTCTGTTCTGTATTGGACACAGAAAGGAGCCCAGAGTCTTTTACATTCCTTTTTTTTTTTTTCCAGTGGGAGCTCATATGAAGCCAATTTAAAACCAGATCAGGTGGCCAGTGGGTTAGGAGCATTTGCGCAAAATAGATCTCAGCCAGCAATAGCTGCGGTAAGTTGCCCATGTACCTCTCTTAAATCCCTGATTTGTACTTTTCTACAAGTTCTTTTATTGTTTCTAAAATTCTCACCTATTGTAGCTCTTATGTCTAGTTCTGGAGTTATTATCTAGATCAACCAACACTTTTAGTTTCATTTCATCACATACAAAGTAGGATATACAATCTGAAAAAAGGGACAAATTGTGAACAGTGGTTCTAAAGCCCTCGTCCCTCGATCAAATGAACCCATTAAATACTCATCAATCGCAAGATGGTGACCGGTTTTTGCCCAAGTCCGCTATCAAATGTTAGCAGGCCGTCAAATGTTGATGAACCCGCCATCTTGCATTTGATGAGTTCATTTGATTGTGGGACGAGGGCTTAAGGTTGTTATGTTTAAAATTGTTTCCCGCAAGAATTGATAGAGTTCCTAAACAATAGTCTCATACTGCCATGGAATGGAAGAACGCTGTGCGAGCTTTCGAGAGCTACCAAATTTCCTCTGATAAAACGTTTATTTTTAAGGAAAGTTATGAATAGTTTTTCTCGAAATTTTCAGATAATTTAAATTTGATCGAGAATAAAATTCGAAGAACAATTTTCTCAGATTTCCTAAAAATTCATGTTTTAAAAGAAAGGTCAGCAACATCTGAAGGCTGATACAACGTTCTTCTTCCCTAACACAGCAGTATATCAGAGGTGCAAGCTAAGATCAAAATTCAACTGCAGCCATTATCTTTTGAATTTTCTCCTAAAATCTTTATGATAAATAAATTTACAAAATTTAGATCTTTGCAGCAAGACCTTTATTATGTAGCATGTGAAAAAAAGAGAGTCGGTAAAGTAGCATTATGTCGCAATGCTTTGAGAGCTGTCTCTACCTTCACACGTCCGTTTTTAAAGCAACTTGGGGCTTTTCATTGGTACCTATGTCACCCAAACGTTACCTCACAGTCCTTTCATAGTCCTCCACATTCATTATTATGCAGCAGCGTTTTCCATTGTATGTGTGACTCTAGTTGTAATTTTAACTGCAGTTACTGTAGAAATTACACATGTTAGGAAAAGCTTAAAGCAGAGTCCATGCACCAGTCTAGTACTAAAGAACATCCTCACCATGCTATTGATTGAATACATTCCAACTCGTGTTCCTTCTAATTAGTACATATTCCAACTTTATCATGTGTAAAATATGCCTAAAAGTAATGAGTGTTGTCTAGAAGTGGTATCTTAAAACTTGATCTTGTATCTTTGCTGCGCAGGAGTGCAAACAGTTTTGAAATGTTGACAGTTTCTTCCAATCCAGCATCTCTGCTTAATGACAAAATTTGTGATTAGTCTCTCTTTTTAAATGTGAGAACTTTTGAATTATCAGAACCTCTTTTTAGAGGTTACGATTGTGTCTTACATCTCAAGTTTGCCGCAATCCTTGGATTGCAAGATGGGGCATTTTTGTGCCCTGCTGCTGCATTTTTCTTCTTGCAAACTCTATACTAGGAGTCTAGTTCCCATTCTTTATGGCTCCTAAAAATCGTATGTGGCACCCAAACTGAAGCTTGCTTTACAAGAGTGCCCTAAAAATTTTCTGGTAAAGTTTTAACTCAAACTCCAATGCTGAGCATAATTGAATGCATCTGTGACAAATTATATTTTTATTTCTTTGTCATTGATACCTTAATGTGCCTTGAACTGGGCTTGGTTGCTTTTTTTTGTTTCTGTTCTTTATGTTAATAATATGTCTGTGTTTTCAATGGGAATTTATTGATGCTGTCCAGGATCCGATCATTGGGGTAGGTGACATTTGCATCCAATGAATGCTGTGCACGATTTTGTTTCTAATGCTGCTCCCTTCCCTGCCTTTTTTCTGACTATTAAATAATCAACAACTTTAATTTTTTGCGCATAAACCACTTCACCCGTAATCATGAATGTAATTGCTAAGTATAAAATAGATGCAATAAATAAAATTACATAACAGCTTTTACCTAATTTTAGGAACTAATCAGTGAAACGCAGTTTAAGGAGGCAATATGTAGTTCTTACCTGAGGTATTCTATGGCAGGGATGGAAAATAAAACCGAACATACCTTAGAAAAACTATTTGATTTTTTGTGTGAAATTATTTGTAAACCACATCTTGTCAGAAAATCCAATGGAATTTGTGGAAAGTGGGTTGCAGTTGCCATATAAGATAGAGAGGGGTCCAAAAATAAAGAAAGTGCTGTTCGCAATATTTGAGCAGCTCTCTGGTTGTTAGGTGTACATATAAAGAGGTTTCTGACAACACCACCTCTAAGGAGTCATCCCTAAATTTGATAACACTCCAAGGAGTAGGAGAGGGGGCCTTTTTCAGTATCTTCAGTGTTCAGAAGTTGGGGGAGGGAGGGGGAGGGGTTACGAATGAAAGTGTTTCACAGCAAGTCTAAATAAGCGATTTTAACTGGATTTTCAAAGTGCCTTGATGTCGGTCCCAAAAGTTTTCATCATCAATCCCGAAATAAATCTCTTAGTGGAAATAAGGATGAAATTTACCCTTCTTGAATATGGAAGTTAGGTTGCCCCTGGGCAAGGAGAAATGCAAACTGCAGAATGCTGTAGTGAGACAGTACAGAAATACAAGCAGCACAGTGTGTATGGTGGTTGTATTATTGGAAAGAGAAAGTCTGGTTTGGGTCAAAGTCACACAATTTTTAGGGGAGGTTTGGTTAAGTGGTTGTCAAAAACCGCAAATTTAGGGGTATGTTAGTCGAAGATGATCCTTGACCCTACAACATGCATGGTTTTTTTCTTGCATTTTTTTATCAGAAAGTCTGATGAAAAAGGAAAGAATGCCCATGGGTCAGTTTCACACCAGAGACGCAGTAAAATTACCCAAAAATCACATTGGGTACTTTAAAAAGTCTGACATCCACTCTTTAGTGCGCAGTTTACATGTTTTTCCTGATTCTCCGCATCTGCAACCATTTTTCTCCAGTTGCCATCGACCAGATTTGCCTAGAAATGGATGTATGAGAACCTAACATAAGTAAATTACCAACCTTAAAAAACTTTTTGTGTTTGTTTCTTCCTTATTTCTTTGTTTTGCGAGAACCAAAGCCATAAAGCATGTAAAGGAAGTTCGTAACAGTTCGCAAGCTCTCTTGTCTATTTAGGCTAGATTTTCTTGCGATTCTGTCTGGGTAACCCTGATTGTGTGTGAGCTTTAGAAAAACTGCCCGCAGTTGTGGAAAATCTGAAAAAGCTTGTCATCAACCAGACAGGCTGTGCTCAGAAGAAGTGAATTTTAGACTTTTTTTATCGTGATTTTTTGCGCAATTTTACCTTCAGAAGGTCCATTTACTTGACTGTATTTCTTGTGTGCATCAGACCCATTTTACACTACATGGGGAAAAAACCTCCAACTGGAGGTGATAACTGACCAGTAGTAGAAATCATAGCCATGTAACCTATTCTCTTTTCTCTCGGAGTGTATATTTGACATTTCTGACTTCAATTTTCAAATTTTCAAATTTTCTTCTCATTACTTGAATGGCATCAATGACAACGGAGTGCTTTGCTGATTTTGTGTGTGCCATCTTACAAAAGTGTACCTATATAACAGCTTGTTTGCGTTCGAAAATTTAGACCTCACTCAATGCAAATGGTTGCCACTTCAGGAACAGAAGTTCTGTTTCTGTTTGAAGTTTGTTTGTCTTGAGCCAAATATCCTGCAATTTTTACTTCTCTCAAAGTTTGATTAGTATTTTAACTTCTATTATGCAATTAAATATTTTAAAATATTTGCATGAATGTTCCGATGTAGTTACATCTAAAACCGTAGTGATTTAATGCTAGATTTGAGGTTCAGTTTGAATTATTTTGCATTATTCATGAATCGTTTATTATGTTAAATGTATGAACAGTAATGTAACACTCCAAAAGTTGACTTCATGATTAATGAATATGAGTCTATATCACAGTTAACGTAGAGTGATTCAAAACACTTATGAATAATCTAACTTTTTCCACCTTTAAGCCCTCAAGGCTGCAGCCCAATAACCCTTTATTTCTTCTTTTTTTTCTATCTCTTCTAAACTCTGATCATTTGCACTTATTTTAACTACACTTCCACCTGCAACAAGTCCTGCAAAATAACGGCAATCTACCTTTGATAATTAATGCAATATGCAAATTCACAAATTATAGTTATTAGAAGTTTGTTAGTAATACTCTTTGCTAATTCAGTCTTGGTACATTTGAGTGTTGGAATCAGTATTTTACTGCCCGAAAAAAAAAGTGTAGTAACTTAAGAAACTGATTTTCTACTGCCCGCTGAGTTTTTGAATCTTGAAAAATTTGGAGCAAGTAATTCTTCTATAGGTAAATATTTTTAACATCTTTTGCCCAAGTAACAAAAAATTAATCACATAGCAAATGTTAATACTCATAAAATGTTCAAGTTTTTAAACTCAATTTTCCCGTAACGGTAAACTTTTATCATTGTAATTATTTTAAACATTTTTGGGCAGATTTGGATGCCTAGCTACATAAAATATTGCCTAATTTACTGTCATGTTTAATTTTTTTGTCTGAAAAGCCATTACATATTTTGACTTAAAATTTTGTGAGCACATTCTTTATGAACCAGGGTAAATTCACAAGAAGTTCAACGAGGTTATATAGTTCAGTTCTTTATTAAACAAATAAAAAATTCTGCAACATGTAGTGCAGTTGAGTTGATTTTTGTTAAATCTGTCCATTTCATCAAAGTTCAAATTATTGCATTTAAACTTTTCAATTTTTGCTAGTAGTAAGCCCCTCTCTGCAGTAATTCAATTTCTTGGGTCAAGTTTGTTTGAAGAATGTTCAGGTGAATTTCCGTGTTTTAAATTCTCAGTCAGCAATCTTTTCAGCCAAAATAAGCACTCAGAAAAACCGCGGTAGTTTATAATGCAATGATATTTTGTATTATTAGACTACAATATGGACGTATTTGAGCCAAGAAAAACCATGTGAAAATGAATGAAATCAAAAGGAACTACATGTGTTGCACAAAAACCGTATGCTTTCATTTCCTTTTTGATTTCATTCATTTTTACAGTTCCTGCCAGCATTAATACATCCATATCTGCTTTGATTTGTCTCAAAATAAGAAGCAAACAGCACTGCTTAGATCTGAATCTAATGACCCGCAGATTGTTTGAGACCTCCAACTTATTGATTAAATGAGAATTTATTCTGTGCATTTTGTCTGAATCTGTGTTTCTTTTGCTGGCCTTTATATAGTTCTGATATTTGAGCATATTTCTTTTCAGTGCTTGTATGGAATGTCTGAGTTGTTTTTATTTTCTTTCCGTTTTCTTTTCCTTATTGTCGAGTTTAGTGCAGAAGGTGCAAATGAATGTATTGTACTTTCCTTAGTCTTTTTAATCATAAGGGAAACATATGAAATTACCAAAATTTTCAAGATATTGATCTAATCTAAGTAAGATGATCTACGCCTTGAAGTAAGTAAGTTTGAGTTTAATACTCAACTAAAAGAATAATAGAATAACTACAATGGAAGTGTGTACGTTAAAATAGTACAGAGTAAAAATTAAAATTCAGTCAGGATGAATACTACAAGTGTTCCCTCCCCCCTTCCCATTTTTTTCCTTCCTCTCCCTCCCACAGTAGAGTGACAATATTCTCGTTGAGCATATCAGGAATGTCCTTAACTTATCATAGGATTTTCTCATTTAAAAATCCATGAACATTTTCTTTTTTTCAGATGCACAAAGAGAGTGATTTTGACGAGATGGCAGCTTGGCTTGGAGCAAACGTAAGTTGAAATGATATATTTTTTCAGTTATGTACAATGGGATATTGCATTATTAATAAGTATAAAATAATGTCCAAAGCACAAGTTCCTTTTGGCCACAATTTGCTACCTCATCTATTTGGCCAATCTAGGAGAGAAAAATCCTGGAGTGATCCCTGAGATCCTGAAAAAGATCTGTAAAATCCTGCTAATTTAACTACAACCAATGTATTCCATTTTCTCTTTTTCTTTTTCTTTTCACCACAAGAGGTAGTAAAGTTAAATTTAATTAATACCATTAATTTTGTTTTAGAATTGCAATTAGAAGGGCCATTCCAGAATTACGTAAGGTATTTTGGCCGACTTTATGACACCTCCCCCCCCTCCTTTGTAAGGCACCCACAAGAGAACTTACTACCCTTTTAAATTTTGTCAGACTCTCCTGATCCCTCCCAATTTTTCATAAAATAACAGAGAAAGCTAAAAAAAAAGGTGGAAAAAAGTATTCCTATTGAAAAAAATTGTATTTTAAAGTGGAAGGCTTGCATGAGACTATACTTAACCCCTCGTAAGACCCAGTAAAGCAAACCTAGATCCGCCTCCTATCGATTATGGTTCTCACGTAATACTTGTTAGCCATTGTAAACTAAAACGTCCATAATCATCAACGTCTCTAAATCATGTTTTTTGTTAAACGTTTTTTTTTTTTCCAAATAGCCAAAACTGAGGTTTGCTTTAACAATTTTGAGAATGTTTACGCCAAAATGCTCATGAAACATTCCTTTTTTCAGCATGATTGAAAGCTTGACCCTCAGTTTTTGTACACTGAAGTCCCTTTTCCAGTAGACATTTATAAGTACATTTTCACAGCTTTAATATTTCTCGCAAATTGCTCCTTGCCAAATTCAGTTGCTCACGCTCAATATTGTTGAATTTCTTTAGCCTGGTTCAACTGAAGAATCTTTGACTAGCAGTGAATTTGAAAGTTTCCTGGCAGAGAGAGCAGCTGCTGCCGAAGCGTCTGGAACCACAACAACCACCAATTCCACCAACGTCTCCAGTTCCTTATCGAATAGTCAACAGTCATCCTCACCCAGGCACCGAAGCCGCAGCAAGAAAGAATTGGATGAAAGCAACATGTTTGCGCTATGATCGACTCTACACCTTTATATTTGTAGTAAGTTTAATCAACCAACCTATCAGATTTTTAAAACGGAGAACACATTTGGCAGTACCTATTTGTGCAGGGTATCCACAGGTCTGGTAAACTGGAAATTGTCAGGGACTTTAATGGAGAAAAGTGGAAATTTGAAAAATCTGTAGACTTGGAATGTGAAAACACATCTGCGCTTGTCAACACAATCAAATTGAGGCTCAGTCTTATTTAGGGCTCAGTATTCTGTGATACACTCCAAATATTGAATAGAGGAAGAATTCTCAGTAAGGAATCGTTACTTCATTTAATTGATTAAGAAAAAAATTTCTGAAAAAAAAAAAAATCTGCAGAAAAAAGTTCACTTTTCTCTGTCATTTGTCGTAAAAATAGTGTCCAAAATTTCCATTTTCAGTTCTAAATCGTTGATGGGAAAAGTCAGGGAATTTTGATTATTTTGGCCTGGGAAATCCTGAAAAAATCAATAATTGTTTTCCCCCTAAGCTTGTAGACACCCTGACTTTCTCATTCAAGGTTTGAAGAAATTATTCAAAGCCTGCTGTTTCAATTTCATTCATTATGTTTCAGGATTCAGAATATTTTCTGAAACTGAGAGTGCGCAGTGGAGACTAGCAACATGTGGTATCGCAGTACTTATCATTAATAATTCACTTACCTGATAATGCGTTTCCCAACAGTTTTTTTGCATCTAACTTGAAGTTAATATCACCCACTTTCATTTTGCATTTCCATTTATTAATTATTGACATGATATACTAGTTTGTTGAGTTTTTCAAAGTATTTTTTCGGGGACTAAAATTTTATTTTAACCTTGTTTATATATTTTTATAACATCTCTAACTTTTGGAGTGCATCTGTTGGTGTATTCTTCATAGAGAGAACCAAATTGTAATGCTGTTTTTCATCCTGCTGGCTCTCCTCAAAAAATTTCATTAATTTTAATTATCAGTCCATTCCTGTCTTCACCATAGCTCAAAGTTTTATCGCATGAAATTGTTGCTGATCGTTTTTATACACACTTCTTATATTTTTAAATTATTTTGCATCAGAATGAGAATATAGAATGGATAATTTTATTATCTCTCTGGAGGAAGCAAGTTGGATAAAATGTTGCAATCAGAATAATTTTTCGATCAGAATAATCTATCATGAATGATGTTGAATCCATCGAAGCAACTTTTTGTTCTGTTAATTAGAATGGGCCATTGGACAATTTCTGAGCATTGAAAAAAATGCCACGTGTCCTTTTTTTGAAAGTGATGCAGAAAACTATTCACACAATGGTAAGCTTGAAAATCAACTATTAAATGAGACATTAATAATTATTTTTAACACAGGACAAATGGAAGTCAAATTATACAAATTACTTACTTTGTATTTTTGCCATTTAACCAATGTTGACGTAAACCCTAATTTAATCTTGTTTGGGAGTTGATGTACAGACTTCCCCTCATTTAACTTGTTTTTCATGTGAACTTTTAAGGTGGAAATATGTTGCGTAGTGCTTTAATTCATACCTTGTGTAGAGACCCATTTTTTGGGTAGTTTTCTTGCACCTCAAAGGAAAGAAAAACACCTCTAACTTGTGATGTGTTTCCTACCCAATTCCACTCGAAAAGAAATGGAAAATCCAAGTCAAGTTTAATTTTAAGTTGTAGTCATCCCTTTGAAGAAGTATTATTTCAGGAAGTGAATCTACAAGATTCTTTTTCCGTCACTCTTGCCGCCTTTTTTTCATTATTGCAGTATTGTAAACTTGTAGCATTTGTATATCCTTTGAGTTAGTGATTTAACTCAAATGGTGATTTGCCCAGTTGACCAATTGTGGTCAAACTGGCCTTGCATAATAATATATTGCATTAATCAGGTAAAAAATCCGGGCAAACTTCGAGTTTTGTTCCAAAAAAAGACCATAACTCTAGAGCTTAACTCTCAGCACTGTGAAAAATCACAGAAGGTCTTAGCACGGAATCCATCAAATCTCCAGTGGTCCATAAAATTATGATGCAAGTAATTCTGTAGACTTGTTCTTCAAGGATTTTCTTTTGCCTGTTAAAAACTCTCAAGTTTGCCAAGATTTTAAGCCCAATTAAACACTAGATTGACCTGGACTGGAATTAAGATCGAAAATCTTAAACTTTGAGTATTAAGACTGCGATGGAGGCTGCAGCAGAGAAAATTTTGTTAGTAATCATATTCCTCAAATCAACTCCCACAGGGTAAGTCAAAAGAGGCACTCTCAAATTGCCATGGAAGCTGTAATCATTATGGGAACGTACTACCGTAGGATAGCTCAACAAAAACCTGAGGCATCATATTAGTTGAAATTTTGTTTCCATTCAACAAAGTATCAGAACTGGTTTTAGGTTATTGAAAATAGATAATTCTGAGAAAACATAATTTCAAGTTCCTGGTTTCGATTAATAGTCAGAAATAGTTTGTATTTCCTCTGTCTTCAGGATTTCTTTCCAAAATTCATCTGCATTTTGACTTTGAAGATCCAACTAAGTCAGGTTGTTGTGATCAAGTTTTTCTCATTACTTAAGCAGAGTCAAGTCTCCTAGTTTTTATCGTTCTCTCTTGTGATTGTTATTCATTTATTGTTTCTGTTATTTTATATTCTATAAGATATTTTTAATGTATCAATTATTTCATGTTTGTACATTGTTCATTGTGAAATAGCTGTGCTGTGCGCCAAAAGAGTCTGTAACTCAGCAGCTTAGCAGTGAGCAACTTTGGTGTTTCTCTGCTGTTCCCCCTCCCCCTCTCTCTCCCTTTCTTTTTCTTTCTCTCTCTTATAATAATTTTAAAGAACATTCCTCACCAAATCTTAACCTTGATGGTTTAACAGGGTTGTGGCTAACTTCTGCTGAAGTCAAAAGGTGTTTTATCTCTGACATAAATTGCTCAAAAGAGTGAGTGCAGTTCCTGTAATAAAAGCTAATTTAAAATATTTTTCATCTGATAACATGAATTCAAAAAGGAGAAAACTATCGATGCTTGATGCAAAGAAGTAGCTGTAGCCTCATCATTTGCTTTATCTGAAGAACTGCATTTCATTATGGTAGGGTCAGTGCTGAGTTACGAAAGCAAGTATCGGATTTAATCTTTTTCTTGGTGCATCTTTTAAAATTGAAAGTTTGAAGCTTGAAGCTTAAATAAGCACAGTCTCTATAGTGTATTTTCCTATGTTATATTGAAGGGAGAATTAAATTTGTGACCTTTTTGAAGTGCTCATCGTGATTTTTGAGCAATTTTAGATAAAAGGCATCTCCTCTCTTTGCTGTACCCTCAGTTCATTGCAACAACCTTATTAATTTGAACAGCATTGTTTAATGTATTGGGTTCAAACCAGGATCCCTCCGCTTTTTAAAATTACAATAGCAAAGCTCTGGAAAAACTACTCCCATGATTTTATGTTATCCTAAGCTTCATCCTAAAATTTTCACCAACAATCCCAACTTGTCAATAGTGTTTTCGAATTTGAAATTTCGAAGTAAGTCAGTTGTGTAAAAGCTTCGTTGCTAGTGATTCTGCATGAAAATAAATTCATTTTAAAGGTTTTTAAAAAAAACTTCAAATTAAAGTTGGCGAACTATCCATTATCTAGGCTTACTTATGTGGCTAAGCATGGTCCGCTCATCAGCTACATTTTTTCCTCTTCACTATTTTTCTGCATTTCATTGCCATTGAGTGCACATTTTATTGTTATAGTGAATATAGTTGTGGAAAATCAACTTCTCTAAAGGATTGCTTTTCTTTCAAAGTGTTTGTAACTTTAAGACTGAATGTGTAGGGATCATCAGATGTTCCCTTCCCTTGCCCATCTATATCACATGAACCATTAGATTAACCTTTCTCAAGCCTCTTTTTCAAGTTTGAAAGCTAAACGCATTTTTTCCTCTTATTTTTTCTTGTAAGTGCAATATTTTCAGTCCCAACATTTTTATCTAAGTTTTGCTATGCAGCTAGCTTTGCTTTTCAAGCTACTTTTCTTTATCATCTTAGAGACTCTCTTGCCAATTCTACACACTTAGGAAAGATACATAATAAAAAATGTATTCCTCATAGCCTGCTCTATTCATATCCTGATGTACACCTAAAATACATTTTTTTCAGTCAAAGACCGTCAGAAACTGGAGGAATCTCGCTAGTCCTCCCAAATTTTAACTCAATATCTAGAGAGGTTTCAATGGGTTTATGGTGTAAGAATGAAATGTTTTTAAGGTGCCGAATTTTAATTTGCCCCACCCAGTTTATAATGGTTTGATGAGTTTCCATTAAAGAGAATAATTCAAATCCAAGTGAAAAGAAAGTTTCTTTTATCGCCGATTACATAGTTATCTCCCTGTACTTTACCAATCCATTGTTACTGTCATATAAAAAAATTTAATTCATGCAAAAATAAAAAATATCGAACTGAGAATATATACAGCATATTTGCCTCCATTTTATATTGCCTCAGCTCCTTATATTAATCACTTTATTCTATAAAATTTTTAAGGAATAAAATTGTCAGGCCTTATTTTTATTTATATCTATTTGTACTTTTGCATTAAGATTTTATAACACCTAGCAGTGCACTCTTAATATTTTCAACCATTATTTGCACGAATCAAACTGACCTGAAAATCAGTAATTTTTGTTATCAAGCATTTGTTATTTTGCCTTTCACTTGCAGAAGTTTCATTTTTTTATCATGCGCTAAACCAGAAGCAGCTTTTAATATCACCAACTTTTTATTTTCTTCCAATGCATACCTCTTAATGTAAATATTTATATTCATGTATTAAATAAATTATCAACTCTTTAAAATCTAGGTGTGTTTATTTCCACCAATACCCATCATTCTAAAAATTATTAGATTTTGAGAAAACTGCGGAGATCTTGATGGCTGAAGCAGGAAAATATTGTAATAAGCCTGTTTTATTTTTTAAAAAAAAATTTATAGCTGTAATTCATATTGTAGTACCAAATGGACAGTGGAACTGTAAAAACATGTATTTTGGTTGTGGTTTTCCAAATCTATGCTCCTAACATTTTAAACAAAGGAGACAGAACCAACATCATGGCTTGAAATTTCCTCAAAGTAGGTATTCTTGACGTAGAGAAAAAAAGTCACTAAAGTTTTCAAGGAAAGATACATATATCGACGGTGTAAGTCGGCAATCACTTAACTCGATTTGCGACATCACAGACTTCCTGTCATACTTTATTTTAAAGGCGAAACAACTCCACGGCAATTTTTTAAAACTGCCGTGATTTTTCTTCTCTGCGCGAAGAAAATTCTGCATAAACTTCAAGGAATGATGTCAATTTGTTCTCCTTTAAAGAAATAACATAGAGGCGGAGATTTTCAGACACCGCAAATGAGATATGTGATTTTGGACTTACGCCCTCGATAAAGTACTTTTCCACGCAGAAAGTAAAGTATGAAAGAAGTCTGCAATGCTATGGACCAAAGATATGAATTTCTGCAGTTTCACCATCGAAATGAAAGTAATGATAAGTATATACACACTTCATCAACATGAAGTAACTGTAAGTATGATTAGATCAAGAGGAGGCCAGGGACACCACTTAATCACTGAAAAGGGTAAAATTGAATGAGATGCAGTAAAGTTTTCCATGAAAAGGACATGAAAAATCCTGAAAAATGCCCTTGTCCTCGCCTAAATTCCATTCAAGGGAACATCAAATCTCAAATGCAGACAGGGGAGGTATTTAATACCAGCAAAACTCTACAAATCTCTGAAGAACCGATCGTGTCCTTTGCGATAGAAATCTAAGTAGCCATGTAGCGATTTTTCTCGCTGCATTTTTTTGTCATTTTAAAGCTCAAGTACATAAGCAAGTTCTTACTCACGCATTGACACTCACGGGAGAAGAAGACCGTTAATTTAAAATTCGCGGGTCGATCCTTAGTAGCGCTCTCTGCTGAGTCATGTCGGAAATCGCTGAAGGTCAAGTGAGATCAGCTGCTCTGTGTTTTTGTGTGCTCACAATGTTTAGACTAAATTTCTAATTATTACTGAATTTAGTGCTATTTTTAAAGATAATAGGATCCCAAGAATATCGTTGACAGTCCGTTTCCTTTATCCACTCATCTACCAGGGAATACATTTTCTTGTTTGCGCTGCTTATGCGTTCATTTTCACTTTCAAAAATCATTCTCTCTGATGTGTTTATTGTTTACCTCTGACGGTGGTGGTTCAAGAGGCTCCCTAAGGAGTTGAATTTTTGGAGGAACACATTCTACCCTTGATCGTAAGTTTGCCTCATCGCATATTTTTTCCTCGAGACCGTCTTTCACTTAAACAAAGAGTTTTATTTTTAGCCTTTTTTGTCATTTTCATCCCCTCTGTTCAAGTTGAAGGTTAGCACGTAGAGCCAAGTTTTTGTGTTGCTCTCCATTTCCGTTTTCTTGAACTCACATGGTTGGCACTCTCTCATATCAGGTTTTTTGATCTTCATGATAAGTTTTGATTTTTATTCTTTTCTTTTAATCCCTCTCCCATACCCATTCTTTCCTCTTGTTTCTTTACCTGATTATTATCTGTTAAATTCTTCGCTCCTCCTCATGATCACGACTCAGAATTATTGCTCAATATTTCTTAATCAATGCATCATCGCTTTTAATCTAATTCAACCAATAATTGCACTTCCAAAATTTTTCAATCACTCAGTGCTGTCTTGCATTATGCTCATAGTTTCCCACAACCCTTAACTTTGAATTTGTTTCACAATGTCTGATAAATGAATTTCTGTGACTTGCATGATAGTTTAATTAGCTCAGTATGGAGTATAAGGAATTTTTTTTTTTGCTTCTCAAGCAAGGCAAATATATATTTTAATGCCAGTATTGAGCTGCCTCTTTTCAGAAAAATAAATATTTTGACGGTCGTATTTTAGATACTAATTATTACGAAAGAAATAGATGAACTAATCTTGTTTGTCTCCGCTACTTTTTCTGGTTCTTGATTGGAATTGAACACTTGACCATCTCTAGATCTTCTTCAATATTTTTTAATCTACCAGAAAACTGTATTGGTAGTTCTAGTGAACCACAATGTCTTATGCTATAAACTATGCCTTTGACAAAACCAAAAAATTGATCTCACATGGCTTGTCCTCATACAGAAAAATGGAAGAAAAGCCAAATGGTCCTCAGCCTGGACCAACTGAAGCTCAAAAGGACATGGTGTGGAGTGGTGACTCTGATTTGTTGGAAGAGTGGAACTTTGTTGTCCACACAAATAAGCTCAATGCTACGGAGGAAACAGCCAGCGACGGAGAAAGTGTGGAAATTCTCTCCAGAGAAAAAATAGGAGACCCAGCTGTAGAAGCAGAGGAGCATCGGATTACTGACGAATCGAATGATGGTGATCAGATTGATAGTGACAATGAGTCGAATGCTGATGATGAAGAAGGTGACGAAAATCTCCGTGATGAGGATGAGGAATGTAATAATGCCAATGCTGATGATGACCAAACAGGAGGTTAGTATGACTATTCTTCACAAAGGGTCTGTCGCCGTTCAACAGGTAGATTTTTTGTGAGAAATAGCTTTTTTTTCTCTTAAAATTAATCTGTTTCCTGCTGAACCTCAAGAGGGATCAAAGAAACCTAATCACTTCTTTCTCCCACTTTTTTCATTTTTTGGTTAGATGCACTGAAGATCGCTTTTATTCGATGAATCAAAAGATACGTGTTCTGTGAATTTACAGGGTTGCTACTGTCAGAGTGTTCTAAGAAGTCAGGGAAAACCTGATTTCAGAAAAAATGACAAGCAGGTCAGGGAAAAATTGCCAAGTCACCTTTATTTGCCTTCTAGAATGGGTTTGCGGATTTGAACAGCGAATTTCATCTGAAAACTCTTGCTAATTATGTCTTTAACCAACTGTCATAACATCAATGCCATGAAAATCTACCAAAATCTAAGTATCAGAGAAAACTGGAGATGTAAGGGAAATCCATTTTCTAAATTCTGCAGCAACCCTGTATTTAGTAGAGGTGCACTAAAGAAAAAATTCACAAACCAAAAATTATCAAGAATTTCCTAATAATGAAAGATTCAAAACACAAATCATCATACAATTTGAGTAAAAATGCAAGATGCTTGTTTAGTTTTTACAAATCTCACGGAAAAAATTATCATGAAAAAAAAAATGTTAGGAGAAAGTCAGTAAATATTGGTATCTGATTGTATCAAAAAACAGTCACCCTGGTCACTCCTTTTTACCATCTAATTTGACCTAGAATGAGGCCGGCAGTCAAGTAAACGCCAGTTCCCTACATCGAATAGTCTTCTTTCCCTCTCTTTTCAATCCTGATTTGCTTTTTTCTTTTCAGAGTCATCCACTCAAATTGTTCCTACCGGTATTTTCCCAGAAGAAAACCTGATTCCCACCCATCCTATGGAAACTGCTCTTGACACTGTCTCAGCCAGATCTGAGTGGGAACTGGAAAGAAGAATCATTCTCGTTTCTGGACTAGTTATTTTCATTGGATGGCTCCTTTTATTCTTTCCTGGTAAGCACCTGTCGTTCTCATGTGGAAGTCATTTTCACCTCTCGCATTGAAGCAAACAGGCTTTCTCCGCCTTTCTAAAGTGTGCATGCTTGTACGAGTTGGAAAAGTCCAATTTTCATGTTTCAAGTGTACACCAATTAGATTGAAAATCAAAAACTCTCGAAATGTTTAAAGACGGCACTTACTTCAAAGGCTACTTACTTGCCTTTTTTCACATCTACTGGAAGAAAATTAAGGATAATTGGTCACAGGGATTTCTGTGCAGGAGTCAATATTGCTTGACTTGGAATAAGTTAGATTCAGCTGCTCCATGTCCTTTTATAAAAAAAAGAAATGTGATTCATATCGGTATATGACCATTCATGATACCTAGCTTCCTAGTCAAATTCTCCTTTTAATCTCACTATTTCAAGATCGAATATTGAGCAACTCAAATTGAGAAGGAACTCAAGAACTTGTGGTTACACAAGAATTTTGAAGGCGAACGATTTCATTCTCAGGCAGGATAAATATTTATTAATTTCTTTTGTGAGTTATTTTCTTAACCTGCTTGCTAACCCTTTTTTTTTTTTTTTTGCGTGTTGTTTTCAGTTCGATCCCAAGAGAACATTGACAAAATTAAGCTTGAAAATGATTTGAAATGGCAAGCAATGAATGAAAAATACTCCAGTCTTAGTAAGTGGTTTTCCCCCCTCTAGCAATTAGCCTCTATTCTGTTATGATTAAAGAACATTCTTTGGTGTTTCTAATTCTTTGAATGTTCCTTCTATTAGAAGAAAACATGAGAATTGAGTTATTTCTGTCGAAATGAATAAGAGACCTTTTTTTCATAACTTCATCCAAAACTTTTCCCAATGATGCAGGTGCTTTCTGTATTAGGTATGCAGTTTGTTTCTCCTTAAGAACTTGATGGATCTTTAAAAAGCAATCAGCTTTTCTTTCTCAGAGACTAATTTTTTCAAAGTATCTCAACTTTCAATCAAGTATCTACTTAAGAAGTCAGAAAATGTTACATGAAGCCACCTCTCACAATATTCATGAAACATAAAATGTAGAATTTGCACTTTATCAAAAACATTTGAAAAGGAGATACTGAATCAGTTGCCTAGACAAGTCAGACTCTCAAGAGATTACGTAACGCTCTAGGGGGAAAGTAGGTCGAGGAGAGCTATAAACTATTTTGTTTTTATGAACAGGATAGGGACCTACATCTCAAAAGCATTACAAGGGGAGAGGGGGTCAAAAATGTTGAAAAAGTGCGTCACGAAATTCATGAACGCTCCTCAACACTGCAGTCTGAGGTATAAATTGTTTTGCTGGAGACCACATAAGGAATAAGTCTGACTAAATGTTCTCCTCCTCTTCAGAATCTTCTACTCTGAATGAAGGAGAGAGTATGTGTGATCAATCAAACCTACCTGTGTTATTTTTTTTTTTTTTTTTTTAAAAAAAACTTGGTTGATTATTATGGTGCATTATTCTAGGGCTTCCGTTTACTCATCTTTTCTTTTATCTGTTTTCAGTGCAAGAACTAGCCATTTACAAAATGAAGTCTCAGTTGATAGACTCATCTTTGAATGATTTGAAGACTCGTAAGTTTCAAAAATTCTCAATCAGCTTTGCTTTTATTTTGGAAACAGCTTCATCAGCTTTGGTATTATGGGTTCTGTTGCTCTTGGTGCATCCTATCTTACGACCGTATTATATGTGTGCTGAATTTAGATCGACTTCATTTGTTACCATCTTTATCGTCATTCTAAATTACATTTCTCATCATTTATCTGTCCTTTCTCAAAATTGTTTTTCCTTCTCATGACAGGAAAATTTGTTCAGTCATATTTAAAGGCTCTTAATTTCACCCCAGTTTTACATTAAAACATCCATCTGGTTATCTAATTTCTCTTGTACTTGTATCCTGTGTCTACGCTAAGATTCTAGTGTATTCTTCTGTAGTGATTAATGCTTGCTTTGCATTAGTATAATACAAACCTTCCTTAGTCACTCTTAACTCTACTTAAAACAGTAAAACACAATTTTTCTCTATCAAACTGGCTTTTAAAAATTTCAACATTTTGGTAAAATGTTGAATTGTTGCACCTAAGTATTTCCCTACTACATTTACGAATTTAATTGGAAGCAGCCTCACTGCATTTCATGTTACCTAATTTTTTCTAAAGTTTTATTTTTTTAACACAGAACTGAACTACTTAATGGCTTGTAACATCTTGTTTTACTCTAGATCATGACCTGAAGAATGCAGATGCAAAATCTCAAAGTTCAATGTTGCCCAATTTTCTGTGTAAAAAATAAAACATCAGAGGAAATTAGGCAACCGCGGATTTAGTGAGGCTCATTCTAATAAAATTCATCCATATGGACAGCAGAACCATCATATTTATAACGTATTATATAACCCACGGTTTTTTTTGCCAACAAAAAGCCTGACAACTGGATATATTCTCAAATTGCCAATTTTCCCTCTACTTTTTTGAAACTTCGTTCAAAAATGTGAATTTTTGATACAAGACACCTCTTAGTGAACAGAAAAAAGTATCCAAAAGTATTTACAAGTTTTTATGACAATATTATCTATCATTTTGAGCCCTTCTTAAAAGTTCCATTGCTGTATATTGTTGTGATGAGGCTTATTCTACTAAAATAAGGCCTTGTGTCTTTAAAATTTTGATCTTTTCAAGGCCATTTCTGTTGGAACTATAATCACTTTCTTGGGTTCACCTCTTACAAGAATGACACAATTGATCAGTAGAAAAGCATACTTTGGAACATAATATTATATATTTCCATCTTAAAATTTACATAACAGTTGTTATGTGAAACAAGCATTATTCAAACCAACTCTTGAGAAACGTACCACCTGGCAAGGTGTGAATTTTAGCATCATGATATATGGAACACGATTTGTGCAAAAAAAATTATTGGAAGTAGCTCCTAAGCAAGATATTAACGTTTTTTGATGCAACAATTAAAACTTACTGCTCATACAAAAACCGTAACCTACTTGAGTTGAATTGCTCAGTAAACGTTATGTATAACAATGTCTGCTGTAAGATATTGTAGCAACTTTAATCTCTGGGCTTCCGCTCAGCTTTTGCACGTTGTCCCTTTGAACAATACTGCTAGATTAAGAAGACTATCAAAACTGTTGTTTTGCGCAATTCAATTCTCGTATTTGGTTTTTCTCATAAGTGGGGAACCCAAACTCATAACTCGTGTTAAATAAAAATGGTAATATCTTAATCAGATGTTAATGCCAATAATTTTTATCAAGCCAATAGTTTTTTATGTGGATCTTTCAGGAGGAAACATATATCAGACTACATATTCAAATTGGTACCTTGCCGAATAATCCATTGTATGATTGATCTACTAACAAATGGTATTGATTGCCCCCTGACCCATCTTGAAAATTTTTGTGTTTTGAACCCATAACTTAGAGGAATTCACTGCCTGCCAGCTTTTCCTCTTTTTAAGCTGTGCTTTTAGAGTCTCGCCGTGAGTTAAATCAAAGATTCTTTAGACAGATATGATTTGATTATCAGTCAAAATCAATGTACTTTAAGACTGTGTTATGAAACGGCTATGCTACAAAATTTGCTTTGTGGTCTTTCCTTTATTTTCAGTTCAAAAAGGTGGGAAAGCTGCTAGCTGTCAATTTGATGATGAAAAATGGCAACAGATGCATGAAAAATACCTGAAACTAGGTAAGCCTTTTTATTTACATCTACCATGTTTTATTAAAAATTATGAAGCAAGTGGAGAAAATTAAGGGCCAAGCAAATTTTATTTTATCAATTATAAAGATGGACTCAAGTCAGCCAGAATTAGTCTAACTACATTTCACACTGCCTAATTTTCTCTCATTTCTTATTTTCCTAACAGAGAACTAACTATCTAACCCCTCTAAATTTTACACTTTGCCCAATTTTCTCTCATATCTTATTTTCTTAACGGAGAGCTAAACTATCTAAACCCTTTAAATTTTCTTCGAATCTACTCCACGGAGACAGGAGTCAACAGGTTTGGAAAACTGGGAATCTTCTGGAAATTCCTGTAGGTCATGAACATCACTGAAAAGACAGGGACATTTTTTAAAAAGACTGGAAATTCATAAAATCTTGATTGAGAAAATTACTCAACAGATGGTATATGTTTGCCTTATCATTCTAGTTGAAAGCAGATTTTATTGTATTCCGCAAGGCTTAAGTTTATAAGACTTGGCCTAACCGTCGTGTTTTCCCTCTTGAGAATCTGCTAGGCAGGTTTAGAACCCCTCCTGCCTTATATAGCCCAAGCAGTATTTGAAAGACCACTAATCTCGGTTTTCCTGTGGTGTGTCACCAAAATTTTCTTTGTTAAAATCGATAGAGAGTTCAGATTTTTTTTACTTAAACCAGGCACTGTAACTTTGTCAATTTTTGACCAAGTGATCTGATTTTGGTCTCAATTGATCATTTTTGAGTTGAAACTATCAATGTTGTATCAGTTAAATAATTTTAAGTGTTCACGAGGATTCATGCTCAATTATCTCCAGAAATTTCCAGTGATCTGCTTTTCAGCAGGTTCTGTTGTTCACCCTACTGTAATTTGCTAGAAACTTTGACAGTATGGAATTCTAGGTTTTTAGGTTGACTTTTAATAACACATGTAATGATTTTTTAATCTGTTTTCAGAGAAAGATTTGACCCTATTCAAAGAAAAGTCTGACCCCCTGGATGATGTGAAAAACAGCGTCAGAAATCGTGAGTATCTTTTAGCAATTCTTTCAGCGTACTATCCGTCAATTTTTATGTTTCGTGATAACTGCTTGTGCTCATTCTTCCTCATGAGTTTATCTTTTAAGGATCAAATTTTGTAACTTTCTCGTCTGAAAATTCGAAAAGTCATCATATGCGGGGATACAAAAGTTCTAGATTACAAGACCAAAAAGTTGAAATCAGCCAAGTGTTATAATAGGAAGGCCTTAATAACGGACCAAAAAATTATGAAAAAGCACAAGCACTGAGATTGCTTATTTTATGCACCATTGAGGTGAAAATTGCATGTTTTTTTTACAAAATTATATTGAAAATAGCGTATTTTTTGGGGGGGAAAAGGCAAAATTGTACCTAAAAAGCTAATAAAAAATGGATCACGTTTTTAAAGCAAAAATAAAAAATGACACAAATTTAAGGTTGGATTGTGGCAAGTGCAAGGTGCACATGGCCTTGGGTCTATATTGAAATGTTTTCCCTTTTTTTTACTCATTACTTTTCAAAAAGTGAGGCAAATTGAAAATTTGCTGTGAGGCAGAAACTGCCAGATCGCAGCAAGCGTTTGGCTTTCCGGATTTTTCTGCACTCATGCCAGTAGTGACCCTGGATCATCAAGTCCTCATTTTTGCAAGGCTGCAAATCTGAATGAAATCAGTGTTGTTTTCAACCAATTGCCAAAATATAATATGAGTAAAGAAAAATTATATTCTCTTTGTTTCTGAATTTAATAGGTATGAAGCATCCCGATTCAAGCTTTTCTCCTACTAGTAGGAACAAAAAATCAGATTGCGGCTCCGACAAGTCAAGTTACTGTATCAAAGATGGAGAAGATGTTCCGCAGCACTCCGAAATACTGAGACTCATCAAACAGCTTGACTCCAGACCAGAGCTTGAAAAGTCCTCTCATGAAGTAGGTGAAGAACCAGAGTTCTTTGATCTCAGGGGGAAATTTTTTAACATTAAACGTGCTTTTGAAATCTCAGATTCAAAATCTTTTGAAGAAGATTTTGAAAAATTGTATGAAGTTTTATCTGTTGACAAAGATGATTTCATCGGCATAGATCTGAATTTAATTACTAGATACAATGAAGAGCTTTACGAAAGTTTCCTGGCATTGATGGATGTAAGTGAAAAATTTACAAAGTATCTGAAGAACACGGACCCTAGATTCGCTAATGACTTTGATGACCTGGCTCGTATCTCGTACGAGTATATTTTAAGTAATTTGCAAAAGTCCAACTATAACATTGCAAAATTGGTAAATAATTATGATCATTTTGCCAAAGCTGTCTCCATTGATATTAGTTATTCCTCCAGGAGGTTCGGTCAGAAACGACTGAAAAAAGAAAGAGAGTGGAAGTCAAAGAATGGAGGGTCTAAAGAAAGTTTTGACGATAACTACAAGAGAAAGTCTAAAGATAAAGAAGAATCATTCCATATAAATCCTGAGTTCTTAACTAAATTGTCCAACGAAGTATTAGAAAACTTTCATCGAGTCTCTATATTGAATGAAAAAATTAGGGAGCTTTTGGAAAAAATCCCGCAGTCTGTTAAAGATGCCGATAACTATGTCCAAATTGTCAGTGACCGCATTCGGATTAATTTAAATGATGCGGATATTGTTTTGTCACGCTTCATAAGTTCATTTGACAGCCTGTTGAAGAAGGGTAAAACTGACGATTCTGTCAAAAACAACTACAGAAAAGACTACAAGGAAAAAGAAGATTTTAAAGTTCATAAGAAAAGAAGCTCGCAGGAATCTTTCCATAATGAGCAAGAAAACTTGAAAGTTTACAAGAAAAAAAGTTCTCCAGAAGCCTCTTATAACCATCCTAAGTATGAAAATAGGTTTAATCAAAGGAGAGACAGTCATCAACATGAAGGGAATGAGGGAAGCAGTGAAAGTAGTGAAGATCAAGAAGAGAAACTGAGAGAAAGCTATGAGCAAAATGATGGTAATGTTTTCAAGTTCATTAAGTCAAAAATAAATAACTATCAAAAATTTTTTACCGATAAGGCGGCTAATTTTAACAAAAAACTGAAAAACCACACAATGCGGGTGAAAGAAAAGTTCCAGAAAAAATTCAAATCTGTTTTGGACTTTGAAAAGGCAAAGAAGTTGAACGAAAAGATAATGAGCCATGGGTCAAAAATAAAAAACAAGCTGACACAGAAATTCGATTCTTTGTGGGATTCTGTCTCAAAAAAATTGAAGAACGCAACTAACATGGCCGTCGCATCAAGTGAGTGGTTGTTCGACTTTGGAGACGACCGAGATAAGCAAGACTCAGCAGAGAGTAAAGAGGAGGCAAATGTTGATCTGAATAATAACAACTGGATGTTCAAGAGAGCAGAGTTCCGCAATTCCAAGCGGGAGGACACAGCATATTGGTATTTCAGGCGAGGCAACGCTCGCAGACGTAATGTCGAGAAATACAAGGAACTATGATGACTGAGGGTTGATGCACAGTAAAGCTAAAGATTAGATCAGTCTCAAAACTGTATTTCTTTCTTCCTGAAGACCATCAATGTTCAACTCTCTTTATGTTCTGATCCTTTCCTCTATCTTCAAAACTGAAATTTCTTTAGTGCTCCGCAGTTTTAGTCTCCGTCAACTTAATATTGCCACAAGTACAGAAGCCGTGAAAGCATGGTGTCTTGAGCCCCAAATTATCAAAATTCCTCTAAGTATAAAAACATTTATGGGAAAATCAGGGAACCAGTTTTAAGAAGGGAGATGTTTTTTTCTCTCCACTCCTAATCGATTTTGCTTCTCAAAGCAATCCACATCTAATCAGCACTATGAAATTAGCCAGAAGGTGTCAAAAGTAACATTTCAGCTTTGAAATCCAAAAAAATTTAAGAAATTCTCCATGAGGATCCAAGATAATGTGGAAAGAAACTTTGGATTTTCATTGGGAAATCTGCCGCCGAAAATCACTGATCAAATAAAAATGAAAAAATCTAAGAATATCAGACACCATGCTTGAAGGGTAGTATAGCTGTAGAAGTTCAATACTTATCATATGCACTTTCTCAGAGGTTGTTTTCAACCGATAAAATCGTCAGTACCCCTCTGAAACGAGGAAGCCTAAGCATATCCAAGGGTCCCAAATTCAAGTGGGTCACAAGAATACAAAGTGATGAGGTCGGAGGTACTAACCTCCTAATCGAAAGTGACTGAATCCCCTCCCAATCCTCGTTCTTTACTGTCCCTTCGGGCAAGTTGCTCAAAAATTGAAGAGAATCGATTATACCCTCATCTAACCCTCTTGAATTAGCAGTACCTTTGAATGATGCAAAAAAGTTTAGTTTACCTGATACGATAATTGATTAGTGAAAGCTTTTAATGAATCTCAAAATCTTACAAGAAACAAGAAGTATTTTATTGTAGAAACTCGCTGTAAGGACCATTGCACGTCTATCGAGCTCAATTGTCCATCTTGCAACCTTGTCCTTCTTGGTTTGCAGAAATAAATCTACTGTCTCAATATGTAGCCTCGCAAATCTTGTAAGTTCATATTGTTAATTCTTAGGCCCTTATTCCTCATACCTTTAGTGTGGTTGCCTCGTTAATTATTGCAAGCCTGAGGCTTGAAATAAGGCTTACTCTGTTTATTTTCTCCTTTGAATGTATTCTATTTCGTAAGTAGTGTCTAAGTTTGGACAGACTTTTGCTGTCCAAAATCTTTCGTTTTTTTAGAAATTTAAGTGAACAGTGAAAACATTACGAAGCCTTTCATAATTGTTTAAGGCCCTATGAAATTTTTGCAGAAAATCATGTAAATGAAACTTCATGATATTGCAAAATCAAGGATTGAAGATTCTTGGAAAAGTCAATCGTTGGAACGTAAATCCCCTGCAAAATTACCGGTTATTCCTCCAAGTATTAGTATTGCATGTTGTGAAAGTTTGCATGTTAATGGTGATACTGTAGGAACGCATACCTCTGTTTGTGACATTGCAGACATCCTGTCTTACCTACTTCATTTTAAAATGGAAAAATACTCTATGTTATTTCTTGCAATATTTCCTCTCTAAAAAGAGCATACAACAGAAATTTCAAATAACAGCGTTGGTTCGTCCTTTTTTAGTAAAATAAAGTGGAAGTGGAGATTTTTTAAACAACTCAAATAAGTTGCGAGTCCCTATGGTTTCATCATCAATTTGCACCACTTTTGTTCATGCAAGTTAGTGTTTTTTTCATGAAAATTTTCGAGGGAAGATCGTCATTCTATCTATACACGATCGCAAATCAAAGAATTTCAGGCAAGCAAACATGATACACGTAGGATACTTAATTTTAATTTTTTTGTCAAACTCTTCAAAGAACTCAGAAAGGATGTGAATTCATTGCCTCTTTAGTAACTTCATTGTCTCATTTTCTGCCCCTGTTTTACTCAATCTTTAAAATTAATTGACGTTTATCTGTGATATATCCCCCTGCAGATTCTGGCTGCAAGATGATTTTGTCTATGCACCACCAGATCAACTCTTGGTCATTTTGACAAATTCTGAACCAACACAATCTAACCATCGCAAATGAAAGATGAAAAATTAAAGTAACAAAATGCCTGTGCAATCATCAATCTGTTAGAGACCCATGTCAGGGCCGTTTCATTATTCTTTTTTATTTTTTCTCTCTCTTGCCTCCGCTCTATCTCTCCTACAAATATTTTCGGTCACCACTCGCCACATATTTTTATCAATCTTGAATATATAACCGTTTTAATTGGCAGTGGTAGCTTCTGCGATCCCTCTTATTTTATTCTCTCCAAAATGTGTAAGATACAAAGGTGAAAATGGTGCCACAAAAGCTTCCGTCCATAAAAACCAATTTGCAGTCACAATTCATCTGTTCTCATGTCTTTGCAAGGAGTCTATAATGGGGTGAGGTTGATTGCTGTGAGTTTTCGCTTTCAGGTGCTCCGTAATGTTTGTTCTTAATACTTTGAGGTTTTTTTCTTTGATTTCTATTTGTAGTATTCCTTAAATATTTGAATTTTTTTTTTTTTTTTTTTTTTTCGTACGGAAATCCGGTCAAGCTTTTTCTTATTTTTTTAAGCCTCCTCCCCCTTTTTTAGATTTATAGGAAACAAAAAATTAAATTTAAATTCTTTTCTTTTTCGTGAAGAACAGATCATCCTATCTTCACAATTTCGTTTAATTTCTCAAGGGGAAACTCCCGGTATTAAATTTTTCCCCCATCAAGCAAGTACATCGGATGAAACTCCAATTATTTATTTGTTTCATCATCGCGCATATTCTCACTCTTTTTTCATATTCCCTCGTCTGCTTTATTGCTGTAATTTTATTCTTGAAGACGCTCTTTTTGTAAGAGTTTAGGACATAGTGTATTCTGTAAATACTGGCGATTAGCACGGTGAGATTTATGGCAAAAATTAGCTGTATTGAAATGTATGTCTCTGTAATTTCAATTTCCTATTGTTTATTGTTCAATGTCTATTGTTGTAATGAATTTAAGTCTTGGGAAATTGGACAAAAAATCGGGCAAGAATGGTTGAATGATTTTTTTGTGGACCCTCTAATCGAAGGCAAAAAAAACTTCATCGTATCATTCTCTGATATGTACCAAAATCGTCATGAATTAGGTAAATCAATTCAACTTTTAAGCTATCCATTTTTCTCTCCATACCTTAATTTTTACCGTAGAATTTCTGCTAAAAACGAAAATTCACTAAAGACAATGTCATAAAATACGTCTTTTCAAGAGCAAGATCAAGTATTATTTTTTTTTTACACCAGCCTCCAAAATTCCTCAAATTTTTGCAAGATAATTAATAAAACTTGAAATATCCCATTGTTAAGAAACACTTTAAAAGTCACAATCTTGTACCTATCTCCATTCATTTTATTTTTTTCTTCTTTTTTTATAGTGTAATTCTATAGATCTAAAATCTATATTTAATGTCTCCTGTTCATGATCAGAAAGAATTTAATCGTGTGTGAATTTTATCGTTTTATCTATTTTCTAACTGTGTTAATATACTGACCCTATGTTTGCACCGTCTTTGCAAACTAATCATCTGGATCACTCAAGATCCTTAACTTGAGTGGTTTAAGCGGTTAATTGAGCTTCTTTAATATATAGATCATGAAAGTACTCTTAAATCAGGTTTTCAGCATGTTTCTTAAATTCCTGAGCCTTAAGGCAAACTATTTCTTTTATTTTTGACACCTCTTCTTGAAGAGACATTGATACTAAAGAGAGAAACGTGTATCTTTAAATAATAGAAAGTCCTTTTAACACAACAGCTTTCAACTGACGGCTGAAAACCTTCGGGTTTCATTTTTGTGTCCAATGATTAGTTTGGAAGTTCATTTAGTGCTGCATAAATGGTCAAATGTTTTATTTTTGTGATAAGCTCTAGTTACCCTACTAGATTTATTTTTTTAAAATTTAGTAACTTTCGAGAGCTTTCGTCAACTCTCTAATAGTTCCACATATTTTTTCCTATTTTTAACGATTATGTTGTACCTTTTTTTAGTGTAATTTAAGTTCATAATTTTATTTTCAAGTCTTTCCTGAGTATTTCTACTGATATTAATCAATCAAACTTTCCCCCTACTTTGATGTCGATATTCTTTTAAGTATTTACAGTTATATCTTTCTTAAAATAAAATTTATTGTCAACCTCCAAGTATGTGCTGAAAGTTCTACATTCTATCCCATTTAAAATTTTCCCACCTTGAAATATCCCAAAAGTTTGACTCAGTAATCAGAGTAGTTTTGATGATCTACAACAGCTACGTTTTTCAATTTTTTTGCTGGTCTTCGCCAAACAAGATTAGCCAATCAAGAAGAAAAAAAAAGCTGCCAAGATTTATTATAGATTATCAAGGTAATAGTTGAGGACAACCTTCCAGTCTGGAGAAAAAAGGGCATAGAAAAAGAAAATTTGAGAGAACAGTTCTTACTAGATCTGAATTTATTGACCTTAACTTTGTACGGAGGTAAATAAGGAACACTTTAAACTATTCCTTCACAAGGTAAAACTAGCACCTGCATTCGTAGACACAGACTCAGTTGTCAGGGTAGTCATGCTTTTTTGAAAAGCATGAAAATTAATCAAACTTAGAACTAAAATAACAAAACAAAAAAGAAAATTTCTGAATATACAATCTAAAGTTATCCTCACATAGTTAAAATTAAATTTATCTTTCCAAAATTAAAATTAATGCTTTCAGCGTAATTTAAATATTAAACTGAGATGGCCAGAGTATGTATTGTCCTTTTACTTCCCAAAACAGGAAAAGATAATGGTAAAAATATCATTCAGTTGAGATCTAATGACTCTTCCAGGTAGCTTGTTTTTGTAGAACAACAACAGAAAACTTAGGGCTAATCTTCTGTCGCAGCATAATGCTTAATGAATCTGGCTGAGGGATCTGACACTGATATCCACTTTGGCATCCAGAAGTAAGGCATTAAATGCGATGCTTGACCTTTATAGTATTCCTCAAATTTTTGCCTGGAAATATTAAAAAAAATTGTATAAAACAATGTGTGATAGATTTCACTAGTATTTTTGAGCCTAAAACCAAAGTAAAATACTGAAATATTTTTAAAGCTTTAAGCTTTCAGCAAAATTGTAATCAACTGATCAAAAATGTAGATTCACAGGGTTTCCATAATTTTCTCATCGTCCAATTTCCTTATTTTTTAACTTTTTCTTGCCTCAAATTTTCCAACTTCTCTAACTTTTCCTAGATCACTGGACACCCTGAATACACTGGTGGCTTGCCTCGGGCAGATGGAGGTGAAGCAATGTAAACATCTCATCCATACAGACAGAATTTAATCTCGATGACAGGCTTTTTCCCTCATATACTTTCCTTTCTGCATGATACATTTCCTAAAATCAAAATTATTTTCGAATACAAATCTGAGCGTCCATGAAAAAAGGATCACTGTCTCAAAACTCAAAACTGTAATGTTAAAGCCGCTATTCAGTAGAAATTTTGAGCAGGAACTGTAAATGACCTTCGAAATTGTCAGATTATGGCATTACATATACTGGTTTGAGTTATCAGGATACATATCTCTTGTTTCAACCCAGGTCTCTCTTGTTTCCCAGGTTTCTCTTGTTGAGTTAGCAGGTTACATATCTCTTGTTTCAACCCATGTTCAGGGCCCATGTTTAGAATCGTTAGATTACGATACAACATTACGTCCCCTATTATATGGTTCGTGCAGCCTCAAGAATAAAAAATCAAGCATTTTTTTTAAACACTTTTCACAAAGTTTTCGAACACTTTTCACAAATTCTTTCATAATTCTTTCATAAACGAGCAGTCTTCTCCCCTGTCAGATCCAAGTCAGAGATTTTTTATTCATTTTGAAGGTAGGTTGCAATTTCTTTTGCAAATAGAATATCAAATGATCCATTTAACATCAAATGCTTCCTAATTTCTCAACAACAAGCATTCTCTGCTGATGCCTGGTAAGGAGAAAAATTCAAGAGCTTTTTGAACATCTTCCAAAAAATGAGCACTTTCGAAGCCTAAAGAAAAAATTTCAAAATCAAGCCCTTTTAAGCTCTTCTCAAGGCTCCACAAACCATCATCTATACACACTCAGTGGACTTACCGTGTGTTAGACAAGATATAGAGGCAAAGAGTGAATTACAGACAAATGTGCAAAGGAAATGAATTGTACCTACCTATAGTAAAGAGATTCCTTGGTCTTTGGAGTGCAGTGGGGGTAAAGCTTTTCTGCGTTATCCAAGGCCTCATTGGGAAGTTTCGGCTCAATGTACTCCTGAATTATTTGAAACAAGGATTTTTTCACAGAAGTCACTCCATCACTGGAAAATTTCACAGACAAAACATTAATTAGTGATGAATCTTAATGCTTACTGTGAATACTGGATACTGGAATAAAATTTATCTATGATGGTAACAACAGGAGATAATTATGAGCGGCAAATTACATCTTCTAATTTTTTTGAATATTTCATGGAGATAATCTCAAAGCCTTTCACACAGTCATTAATCTAAGCCAGTCTTCTCAGTTTTAAATATAATTTGAACAAGATAAGCATGTGATGACACCCCCTGACATGGAACTTAGTGGCTGTGTGCCTTTCTACTCCTGGAAGGCAATCACCTGTAGCTGTGTATGAAGCCCCTAATTATTTTAGGCTCATTTTTCAAGGGGACAAAATTGTGCACAGTGCATGCAAAAATATGGTATAATGATTGTGAAAATATTTCAATTCTCTTCTTAGTTTTGCACTTCAAAAAATTTGCCCAGAAAGACAAAGATAGGTTTTCTTCTTTCTGTTTTTTTAATGCAAAATGAGCAATGTCTTGCTCATCCTTTTGTTGATTATAAGAAGGAGATATTTTCATTCTGAGAATGATACCTGAAAGCTTCCTTATGTCTCCACAGAATATTGTTTGGAAGTAGGTCTGTCCCATCAAAAGCAGATCGTAACAAGTGTTTCTCTATGCCTTTCTGCGGCTGTCTTGATTCTTTTGGAAGGCTGAGAAAGTAGTGAGTGAACTGCTGATCCAAAAAAGGTACCCTCAATTCCAAGCTGTGAACACCCGTGTACTTTAAATTAAATTCGTATACAAGGGTTCTTTTTGGAATTTTAGACAACACAAAAAGGTATTACATCCATTCCTTAGTATGATACAATACGCATTCGACTTATTGATCATGAGGTCAGGAAATGCCGTAGCAATCTCTATTGTGGTGTTTAAATGTGTTTGCTTGTGTTTAATTTTTCAAGAGATTACCTGATACTTTGGCATAGTCTTTAGCAAAAAATTCTTAAAATGCCAAAGATAATTGGCTTGAATCTTCATGTGACAATAATGACTGGTCATTTTAAAAAAAAATTAACAACAACATCACATACCAAAAGGTGTGTTCTTCCAATACCACCATCTAACTCTTTTTGATTTGTCATTTTAAAATTGGTTAAATTTGGTGAAAATATTTCTAGCGCTAATTTTTTATGGTTACGATTTATCTTTCTGCTCCCTTTACTAGATAGTTTAATTTTCAAAAAACTATTACATACTTGATTTTCTGTCAATCAAAAGTTCTCTAATGCGGTACATGGAAAAAATAAAACTGACAAGAATTTTCTAACCTGTGTGCAGAGGTAGTCCTATCTGCTCTGAGTCCATCGTACATGAAGATGTCTGAAAGCAATCGGAGACTTTCAGAATGAGCGTCTTCTGCGTTGGGGGCGTCTCTGAAATAAATGTAACCTTGGGCAAGTTCATCTGCACCCTCACCACTGAACAAAACTGTCGTGTCAGTTTTTGCTTGGATATATTCCGCTATTAAGTACATGCCTGAAAGAAGAGACTTTAAGTTTAAAGAAACAGAAGGCTACTTAAAAATTGCAATTCAGGAAGAGACTTCCTTTAATTTTCATTGTTTTAAGACTTAAACAAGAATCATTCTTAAGACTGCATATAATATTCTAATTTATTGATCAAATGAGCAACAAGCATTTGCAGCCTATTTCTGATGGACCGCTAAATAAGGTGCAAATTGAATTGTGATACATGTTTCCTCATACAATTTCATGTAACAATTTATGCAACAAAAAGTGAAAGCATCTCCTAACCAAGATATAAGTTTCAAAAGAAATGATGTCACTAAATAAATCTCACCTACGGAGGCCCGAACAGTTGTAATATCTGCAGTTTCCAGGTGGTACAGTACCTTGTCTAGAACACGATATACATCTTTTTCATCAAATGTTATCTCATGATGTTCAGTGCCAATATGCTTTGCTACCTGACGTGCAGCTATTAGATCGGGACTCTCTCCCATTCCAATTGCAAAAGACTGAAAAATAAAAGGAAATTATTGTTGGCAATATTACAGCTTTAGTTTTTTTAAACATACGACAGAAAACGGGATTAAGGACCAATAATGGATGTCAGCGCGCTCACAGTAAAACACATAAAACAGTGAAACTGTTGTTGTAGATAAAAACTTACTTGAATTTTATAAGGTAGGTTAGCTTTCTTTGTAAGTTTTACAAGTAAAGCTGCAATGAGACTCGAGTCTAATCCACCAGAAAGAAGACACCCTATCCGCCTATCTGCCATTAATCTTTTTTCCACAGCTGCTGTGAGCAAAGTCTGAATATTCGCACTGATGTTGCTGGGATGCAGATCTGTAGCAGACCAAAAAATTATATTAAAGTTAAAAATACTACCAATTTGTGAGGAAGAAAAAGAGGTGCAAATAGTTCCAGACCACATAACCGGTCAGGTCCACTGATTGTGGATATGGCCAAGTTTTTGAGCAGCAATGTTTGTCACCTTCTAACATTATGATTTGACATTTTGTGAACATTGCAAATCAACCAAGTAAAAAATTAGACAAAATAATTGATGTGTTGTGTTGACCTTCTTGCAAAAACCCAGCCTATTGCAGAAAATTTTGGAGGCTTCTTTGAAAATTGCGAAGGGCCTAAAACTATTTGCACTTATGTTTGGAATCATAAAGCTATCGTTTTGACATTGAAACAAAGGTACTTTCTATCTGTTTTATACAGAGAGTTTTGTATGAACACTGCTAGACACAAAAGCAGTAATCTTAATATTTAATTTGAAAAATAGAATGAAATTGTGAATCAACCACTGTACTAATTGCGAGGGGCGTTGGTTCATTTGAAAGGTGTTGTTTTCAATGCTTCGGGAAAACTATAAATTATTTTCTGGGGTTCGTCCCCGATTTTTAAATCCCTAAAAACTCATAAATTGGATGAGGGGAAGTGGGGTTTTTTTGTTTTTTGTTTTTCGGAAAAGTTTTGTTGCTAAGCATCTTACTTTACTCTTTGCTGTCTTTTTATCAGCTGTTCTCATTCAACAATCATCATTAAGTGAGGTTACTTCCAACACTCAACTGCCATCAACTTACATTTTTCTTTTCCCGCGTTTTTTTTTNTTTTTTTTTTTTTTTATTACGGTTTTTCATGATTGGTTCCATCTTTTTCCTGTTTCCAATTTTTCCTCATTAAGGCAATAACCTCCAAGTTTTTTTTCTCATTTCCGATCAGAACTTTTCACGCCGTTTCTTTTCAATGTGTATAAATATGTTTATTATTAATTTCCATTTTCATTTCATCCTTTTTCTTCTGATTTATTTTTTTTAATTTAAAAATTGAACTTTTCAGTTATGATTTTGTTAAAATAATAATAATTTTTACTAATTTTAATTTTAAATTTAACAGTTGTTATGAGTGAAATTTTCAATGACCGAAGCGGTCGTCCTCCAAAACGTGGTCGCGTTTTCCAGAATTCTTCGCATGTTCGTTTAGTGAAGCAAGAACTTAACTCTGTTATTAGTATAGAAAATCAAAGTTTCATTTCTTCATTTCGGAAGTATAAAATTGATGATCAGAACTTTGATGAAAATTTTGTTACCAAATTTTCAGTCGGTTAAATGAATATAATTTGTCATTGTGATGCTCGCCATTTTCAGGGTGAAATGTCCAATGGTCATTTTAATAACTGCTGCCAAAATGGCTTAATTTCTTTACCGAGTGTTCGGACAAATACCGATTTGAAATCATTATTTTTATATTCTCCAAATTTCATAAAGCATATCAGAAATTATAATAGTGCTGTTGCTAAAAAAGAAGCAAAAAAAGAGAAGAGAAGAAGAAGCAAAAAAAGAAAAGACAAAAGGAGGAAAGAAGAAGAGCAAAGTTGTAGGAAATATAGGAAGAAAAGCAGGACAGAAATGGCAAAAGAAGAATCAACAATTTAATCGAAAAAAAAGCAAAGTATTTAAAAAATAAAAAAAGATCTTCTTTAAAATTAGTTTGAAAACAAATGTAAAACCTAAAACATAATTTTGTATGAAGATTAAAACAAAATTTTACTTTAAAGTTTACTAAATAAAATTATAATTTTTGAAAACATTCGTTATATTTATTCTCTCAAAGAAATAATTAGACCGGATTCAAAGACAAAACAGAAAATTAAATGAAAATAAATAAATAAAAAAAAACATGTGAAAGTGAAAAGTGTACAGGAAAAATAAGGGGCTGCGAAGCAGCCCCATAAGCCCCTAGTTTCATATAAATCTAGCATTCAAAGCTCTACAATATTGATAGGTACCTTCTCCATTCACTTTGCCACAGAATAAAAGAAGCGCTGAATTTTGTAATCTTTCATCAACTGAGCAGTTTAATAAAATTCCTCACCTTCAAAGGGAACAAAAGGTTTGAAAAGGGGTTCTTTTCCTATCCTGTAGAAGGGTTTTTCACTGACTAGAGTCACAGTGCCATTGGAGTTGATAGAATACTCTGCTACGTGACCAGGAGGGAACTGTTTGACAACAAATTTCTGACTTCCTAGCTCATTACGTAAAGTAATAAGGCCTGTAAAGGAAAAGAAACAATTCAATTTTACATCATTATAACACAATACACCTTTTATTATTGGTATAATCACACAATCTTCACCCTGAGCCATATCATAAAGAAGCTGAAGCTGTTTGACATAAAAATGAATTGGTTGATATGTCTAAAGTAAACTCTTAACAAAAATTTTAAACTCTTTTTAGTAAGAAATTAAGTGCTGGTCTTACGGAGAAACCTTGATAATTCTTTAAAATAAAATCAATACATTTTTCCCCCTCAATAAATTGAATTTTTCAGCCCCCAATGAAAACAAATTATTTTGGTAATTCGAAATTTTATAACAAGACTATCTATAATTCACAAATTCTGGCAGGTTAACATGAAGAAGATGCCAAAGTGGCTCAAAATCAACCAAAAACAGCTTTTCCTGCACACTGGAAACACACCACGGCAGCCGCCAGTGCTTTTTATCTATTGTATTAAGTAAACAGGGGAACATAATTTGTAAAAAAAATCTTTCTTTTTTTGGGCTCAACCCTCCTCATTTGAAACTCATGTCAATTCAAATTTTTCTCCAATCTCTTGAATTTTGAGTTATTAAGAGTTGACTTTAATGGAATAGGATATTTTGTTGTAAGTCGTGTTTAGAAACTTTCAAAACGGTATTTTTTTTTTCTTTTTTTTTTGGACTAACTGACTTACTGGACTAGCTAAACTTTGCTTCTGGATGTAACATTTCTATTTTTTGCAAGAACTTAGTTTATTATCTTTATGCTTTCCTACTTCCAGTACAGATTCATTTGGATGTAAAATTACACAAACCTTTGGCCTCAGAACAAATGCCAAGGACACCTGCTTCCGTGACAACTCTGAACAAGGGTCTCACACCAAATGGGTCTCTCGCAATATATGCTCGTTTTTTCTCAGCGTCAATTAAACAAAAAGCAAACACTCCGTCTAGATTCTGGCAAGCAAATTCAATGCCTGATTTTCCGTAGAGTTGAGAAATGCATTCCACATCACACTTCGTTTCATATTCAAAACCGTACTGCTTGGCCAACTAGAAAGAGGAATTCCAGCCATTAAAGCACTTACAATAGTAACTTAAAAACTGACTTAAATACTTTAAATTTGTGAATTTCCATCGAAGTAGGGACCTCATTCCACTGAGGCAATCTGTATTGATTTTTAACAAAAGGGCATTCAGTCCAATGCAACATTCCAAAATGCCTACTGATGGATAATCGTAGTGCAGTGAGCAATGGAGCAAATTTTTAAGGAAAAACAAAGAATTTTCCTCATACACCAGAGCAATTTTAGTAAAATTTTTGAAATTTTCTAGGTAGCTGATCTGTACAAAAATAAAATGCCCGCAGTAATTTCCAAACATTCCCCTGGACTCGTGCCCTTTTGCAAACTGTCAATTCAATGTTTCAGGACAGTAATTTTTGTCAGGATGTGTCGAAAAATCAGAGGGTCAAACACTGGGCCTAAATTCTTGGCGTGATACTTTAACCGCCCCTAAAGCATTAAACAAGATTTCATTTAAGACTCCTTGATCCACTACTAACTGATTTTGCATAAGTACTTACACGTTTGCAGTTGTATAATTCGCCATTGCAAAGGAGTGTTACCAAAGGATATTTGTGCAATTTCATTGGCTGCATTCCATACAGGCAATCAACAATTGATAATCTATGAAAACCCACACACACATTCTAGAACAGACAACATGAGTAAATGAGAGCGGTGTGGATGAGGTCAATTTTCTAGTTATCTTTAAATATGAAATAACTGCGGATGTGGTAAAAAAAAAAAAAAAAGAAGTTTCGACATTTTCACTCTATTTCACTTCTTCCTTGGAAGATAGTATACTGAAACTTGAGCATCGAAATGTTAAATAATAAAATTACTTAATCATATTGATGCTCAGCACAATATCAACTGCAAAATATGAAACACAAGAACTAAAATGTTAGGCGTGTAAAATTTTTGTAAAATTTTCGTTAGAATTTACTAAAATAAAGTGATAAAAAATTGTAAGAGGAAATGACATTTATAGGAACATAAAAAGGAAAAGAAGCTTCTTCTAATTTGAATATTTGAGCTGTATTTTTAAGTTTTTTAACTTTCTTTGATACGGTTAAGTAATGCTACTAGGATAAGGCATAAGTTTAAGTTAAAAACTAATACTTGAATAATGATAATATACTTATAAATAATATTTCAAACGCATTTATAGACAGTAAGAGGTGAATTTTGATCAGGGGGAGATTGAAAAGTAGCTACCTTGATTTTAGCATCAAACTCAATCCTCCATGCGTCAGGTCCTCTGTGATGAATTGCAGTGAAGGAGTGCTCACATCGTGACAAAGTGGTGGCCTCCAGGCCAAAAAGTGCCCAAATTCCACACATATTAAAAGCACTGGAAAAAGTAAACATTTAATTGAAATCAGAGACAAACTACGAGAGAGCAAAAATATATGCATTGCATTTGTTTTTACTGAAAATACCCTTAGCCAGATATTTACGGATAAAAAGGTAGCTACTCAATGGGCTGGGCCTCATTGAGGCTCAAGTTACAGACTTTACAACCTGCCGATCCTCCCATTTTGCTTGTGATGTTGAGTATGCTCACATCATTGAGCCCATTAAGGGAGGTTTGCCTCAGACTGAGGATTAGTGACAGCCAAGAAGACAGAGTTCCAACCGACCAGAAAAAATAATCCCTCAGCATCATTTGTTAAAGTCTCAATCTCAATTCCTAGAACAATGATGGAGGATGCATGATAGTAAGGCATGAAGGACTTTAGTAAGGTTTATCCAAGATCGGTGGATAAATGTTCGGGGCTCTCTATTTCATCTTCGGACAAAAATGCTAGTTGTACATCTACTGCCTACTTCTACGATAAAAGAGAACCAACATCAAATACTTTTTACTTGACGAATGGCATCAATTTTCGCTTAGGGCCCTCTATCAATCTCTATCAAGTATCAAACACAATGAAGCATACCTCTGAACAAAGGAAATATGTGCAGAAATAGACATACAACATAATGATTGATACAAAAACAGGTAAAATGAGCATAATAGTAAACTGCTATTATGCCACGAATACTGGTATGGATATCGTTACGTATTTATTACAAAAAATTGCGGAAAAGATGAAGAAAGATTACCCACGTGGTCGCTGAGGAGCACCAGAGTCACGCCGACTTCCAGTAAGTAGGATTTAAAGAGAATCACACTGATTTTATAAATTTGGTTTTAGTATGATGTGTATGTATGCACAGTCTGAGTTGGAGAAAAATAATTGCAGAGTAAGGGAAATCAAGATTTTGCCGAGCAAAAAATGCCCGGATCGAGTGAACGCACTGCACTGATAACGCTCGATTCGAATGATTCGATAAGGAGCTGAGAGCTGAGTCACTTTTAGAGGTTATGTTTCATTGTTTATTTGTTTCTTTGTTGTTGACTCTGCTGACTCTGCCATGTCTCTTATCAGAACATGTCAGAACTCACTGGTCATGCTAAGTCTCTTTTCTCTCATTCAAGTCTTTGTGTCCAACTAAAAGTATTTTATTTTAATTTTTTATGTGCTTAAAGTAAGATTGAAATTTTTTTTCGCTAGTAACTAAATTGTAGCCTGCTGTGTGCGTAGGTAATATCTGTCGCTAAGATCTCTCTCTTTCGCTTATGGCTCCACTCTTGTTCGGTGTCAGGCTAAGCCTGAACAATTTTGTCCAAGAGAAGATTGATGATATTGATTTAGATAAAACAACCGCTGAAGAACTGAAAAGCATCCTCTCTAAAATGCCGGCGGTAAACTTGGAAGTTACGGATATCGGTAAGGTTTTTCTCCCTCTTAATGTCAACCAATATGAAGCATTAAAGTCTCTTTGTTCAGCATCGATGTAGACTCAATTACGATTAAATTTTAGATTCCGCTTGCATAAAATCTTGCGCCACCTATAGATTGGTTCTGTTTAACTGAAGATAATTGCATGCATACACGTTAGAAAGTTCAGTGGCTGCTAAATCTTGGAGGTAACCCGAGACCAATGAAATAGAGGAGATTCTGCAGCTTTGCAAAAATGCCCTTTCCATCTATATCAGGTTTTATTTAATTTTTGAAACCTCAGTCTCTCATCATTTCTCATTTTTGTACGGATAAGCCTTTTTCTGCCGTGTAATAAAGAATTATGTTGAGCGAATTATTAATTTATTTCCGGCTTTGACGTAAAATGGAATGTTAAAATTGGAGGGAGTCCTTGTTTTTAATTAATATCATAATTAAATAGGGCACATAACTCCGCTTTCATGATGAATTCCTGTCGAAAGATAAAGAAGTTTTTGCTCAATATATTTACTTAGATTTGTGACAGTCCTTGGTGAGTTGAATGATCATTTTCATGTGTCTAAAATGATGTAATCTTATCTCTATTGTTCTAGAATTGGTGCATTGTGGAAATATTTTAAAGGCAAATTCCTCATTATCTAGCTGTGGCGTTAAAGCAGGACAAATGGTTCATGTTTTGAAAAAGAGAGAAAAAGGTATGTATCTATTGAACTCATTTTGTTTGGTCAAGATGTACATACGAGAGGAGACTGTTGACACAAGAACTCCTAGCAGTAGGGTTTCAACGGCCGAGAAGGGTTAGCGGCTATTTACAGTGTATTAATGACAATACTTCTTGTCAGAAACATGATTAATGGAATAGCAATGATTCGTTTATTTTTATTAATTTTTTTGTGGTCCAATGAAGTGATAATAACTAGTGCCCTTCTCTGCAATAAGCAGGATCTAAGCCAATCAGCTGATCAGTTTTTAGGAAACGCACTTTGTTTTTTTTTTCTTCATTCCTTTTTTCTTTTTTAGTTCAATGTTTTTCATGAGTAAATTACAGCTAAGCTCATTGGACCGAAACTTGCCTTGTATTGAACATTCTCAGGAAAGAAATGACTTTACTCTGGTATGTTTTATCAAGGATTTTTGTAAGCAATCAACTGCATATTCTTTTTGCAGATGTCCCGGTCAACAATGAAAATATGAGTGAAAAGGAAGCTGTATCCATTGTTGTTGAATTCATAACACTGACTTTAAATCCGAACTCCAAAAGTGAAATGCAGGTAACTTGTTTTTCTCTAATCCTTTATCATGTATTTTTTCTCTGAATGATGCTGCATAAATCATCACAACAGCTCAACATTCTTACCTCCTACAAGTATCAAATGTCTGTTATCATTAAAAATGAAACTTGAAACTTTGTAGAAGTAGAGTGGTACACACTTTTCGAAATTCTTCAAATCTAAGAAACCATTGATTCAATTCTCACAGATGAATTTGATTTTTTCTTTCTTAGAAACCTTTTTTTTTATTATTATTAGGTAGGATTACTTGTTGGTTTCGTGCATTTCATATTGGCACAATTTTATAATCCTCACATTAATATGGGCATGTGACAATGGTGAATGAACATGCACAGCATCAAATTCAGCATCAAGAATAATATCTGCAGTACATACTCAAATTTTATTCATGTTCTGTGTTGAATTCTTACATACCCAGGGACTTACATACACATTACCTTTGTTATTCTCTCATCTAGTTAATAACAGATTATTCAACATTAAATATTTACGTACTATTCTTCCTCTGTATAATAGTTTATAATTCTTTTTCTTTTCTTTAAATTCCTTATGATAATATTTTCCATCTTAATTGACTCATTATTTTTTTCAGAAAATGCGCTCATTGGTTCTTGATAACATCACCTCACTAACTCCAAGCCTTCGAAGAGATCCAATTGCCCTCACTTTCCTGCAGGATCCAGAACTGTTGGCAAAACTAGGAGATGTGCAAACAGTTAAAAAGTAATTTTCTAAATACTTCCCTCTTGTAATACAATTTAAAATAAGCTAAAGTTTTCCGTTTTTTCACAAGAGAAAACTTGCCATTTTCTTCTTTTTTATTTCTTTTTTTCTCTCCACGTCCTTTATGAATCACACAAGATATAAATAGTGTACAATCAAACTGTGCTAATTTAGAGATGGACTAACTTTTTACGCTTTGATTCAGAATGAAGTGTCTGCTGTACATATTTTCCTTTACTGATATGTGCTTTCATTGAACAGGGTTAGAGGTTTTCTTGGATTTCAAAATTCCCAGACTTTTCTTAAATTTTTAGGGTTTCAGAACTAAATTCTGACTTATCCAAAAAAAAAGAAGAAAAAAAAAAAGAATCCTTTGTGGCATGATTTGTAATAAAAATTCTTCTTGCAAAAAATTTGAAGCACAAAGTCTTTTAAACTTTAAACAGAGTAATGTTTTGACAAAAGGAAAAAAACTTGAAGGTTCCTCGCAAAATTTCCTGACTTTCTAGCATTGGATGAAAGTCTCTAACTTTCCCAGGTTTTCTATGTTTTTTCAAGAACTCTCCATTCTGTTCAAATATCTCTGCGCTTTGTCTCTTCTTGGAGAACTTTATTATATTGCTTTTTGTATTTTCTTGAATATTTTATCATACTTTTTGCCAGATAAAATACAGAAAATATGAGGAATTTAAAGACCAAATTTTTCCAAAATTTCATTGTGCACCCTGAAATCACCTTAACTTGAAATCTTTTGAACGTTATTCATGTGTATTGAAATCCTAACACTTAAAACAGTTTCAAAGAAATTTCAAGTCAATGAAGTTTCAAGGTGCATTTGAAAATGTTTGTCCTAAATTGAGTCACACTTAAGACATAGCCTCTCCTTCATGTGATACTTTTGATGCAAGTATTTTATTGATTCTGTCATTCACTGGAACGAATGTCTGTACCTGTTTGATTTTACAGAGTCATAAAGAAACACCCTGCTTTGGTTGAAGCTGCTGGCTATATTGTGGCCTTGACTGATACCAGACAGGTCTATGATTACTTTGATCTCAATTCTTCCACACAGCAGCTCAACAATCTTAGCGACGATGAAGAAATGGACTCCTCACAGGTTAGTCATGAAAATTTCACTGATTTCTTGAAATGGTTCCATGAAGGTTCGCTAGATGTAATTTGGGAATCAAAAAAGACATTTAAGTTGAATCACTTGGGGGTTTAAGTCATTCATCTATAGCATTGACGAGTTTCGTTCAATCAAATTTATGTGGTCGCAAACCTTTAAATATCACAACAATTTTTATAATGGGGATTTTAAAATGTCCATAAAAAAGAAGTATTAATATCATCTTAATATCTAATTTGAAAAATAGAATGAAATTGTGAATCAACCACTGTACTAATTGCGAGGGGCGTTGGTTCATTTGAAAGGTGTTGTTCTCAATGCTTCGGGAAAACTATAAATTATTTTCTGGGGTTCGTCCCCGATTTTTAAATCCCTAAAAACTCATAAATTGGATGAGGGGAAGTGGGG